AATGAAATTTAGGTGCTAACTTTGAAATGTGTCAAGGAATGCATAATTTTGCAAAATATTTTTGTGGATGCACAAGAAAAATATGTTCAAAGATCCCTGTTTTTCTCTACTAATACACTATAAAATTTGTTGGGCTCTGGGACCAACCAAGTAGTGCACAGGATAATGGAATCAGTAAGAGTTTGCACACTCTAGTAATAGCAACAATAATGACAGGTTAGAGTAATTCCCCAATACCGGGAATTATTCTGAGCACTTTACTTTAATCCTCAAGCCATGACACCGTGAGAAACAAACCATTAAGGTCCCTGTTCACAAATGACAGAACAGACAAAAGGGCCAGAATGAGCTACCTGAGATACAGCTCGCTGGGGACAAAGCTAGGAGAGAGACCTGCCTGCGGGGCCATCTTCTCAGACGTGGGCTGATGGCACATTTGTTTGTATTTTCATTTTATTTTTCAATCTTTATTCAACTGATACATTAAAAACAGTCATAGAGTGCACAGCATGCATGCGGCCCTGAGTTTGATGTCAGCACGAAAACAAAACAAGAAAAAAACCTATCTCAAGAAAAGACATCTTGATGGCTTCTTCCAATGGCCCCACAGACCCGCAGGTCACCAGGTTTCTTCTCTGTCTCAGCTCTGGGTCACAAACCTTGGCGTCACTGAGGACGGTTGTTTAAAATGCAGGTGCCAGGGCCCTGCTTTTGCTGCAATATCACCTCTGGAAGGCGACCCCAGAAGCTGTCTTTTCTGTTGTTTGGTTGGTTTGCACTTTGGTTTTTTGAGATGAGGTCTCACTATGTCTTTAGGCTGGCCTTGAACACAATATGTAGCCCGAGTTGGCCCCAACTCTTGGTGATCTTCCTGCCCCAGCCTCTCTAATGCTGGGATTACAGAAGTGCACCACCACTTCTGGCTTAGAAGCGGCCTTTCGAGGTTGGAAAAGGGTTGCAAAGCAAGGCAAACCCTGGCCTTCAAAACAAGACTTCTGTCCACCTTTGGCCTCCATCCTGTCTCAGCCACCTTTCCATATACTTTGGTAAAATCCTACTGACCATCAGAAAAAATAATACATTGTCCTTCTCCCCTGGGCAGTTATCCCACTATACAGATGAGAAAACTGAGACTGAGCTGGGTTTCCACTCTTGCCAAAGGCCCATAGCTGGAACTGAGCCTCTTGCCCCTCATTCCCACCTCATATCTCTGCCAAGCTCGGTGGCATTTCCCCACAGCTGGACTTTGGCCAAACAACACCCCTCCTCACACTAGGTTCTCTACTGTTCTCCCCTGAGAAACTTTTGTAGTTTTGAGCCCTTTTGGCCACCAAATCAGTTCCACCACCACTGTACCCAGTCACAGGAGCTCTGCGTGGCTTCTGGCGCTGAGGATGCTGGGACTCAACCCAGCCTCCTTGAAGCTGCTGCATCAGCCAGGCTGGGGCATCAGGAGCCACCTAGAGCATCTGCAAGTGGGGTTGCTTAGGGCAGGTGACAAGAGGTGGGTGCAAATGCAGCCGGCCCAGGACTAGGCCGCAGGAAGAGGTTTGCTGTCTCGCCCGCATGACCTCTCACGGCAAGCAAGCCAGAGCCACGGGGACCCCAAGGCTGCTGCTCAGGGGCCCAAGGCCAGCCCTGCAGAAGCTCTGCTCCCTTCTGCACCCTCCAGCCTGCATGTTGCCTTTCACAGGGGGAGGGGATGGAAGTCCCAAACGGAATGACAGGAGATCGTCAACGGACCGTCGAGAGGGAGACGTCATAGGTTGTTCTGAGTGGCCTGAATGGGATCACCAGGGTCCTCGAAAGTGGAGGAGTGAGGCAAGAGAGAAGGAGCCTTGACCGCAGAGCCAGGGCCAGGGACAGCGATTTTGGCTTTGCGGGTGGAAAAGGTGGCCACAAGAAAGGCACGCAGGGGACCCCTAGAGGCTGCAGACGGCATGGACGCGGACGCTCCTCTAAAAACACAGGCCTGTGGTGTTGATTTTATTTAGACTAGAGGCGTCTCAGTGGGACTTCTAACCTACAGAACCTTAAGGGTATAAATTTTTGTGTGCTTTAAAGCCACTGAATTTGTGATCAGTTCTTACAGCTGCAAGAGGGAACCAGGACAGGTAGTAAGTGATGGAGTCCAGATTCAGGCTGAGGTAGTCTGGTGCCAAATCTGCTCTTCTCATTTCTGGGCTATTGCTTCATCTCCAACCCCTTTGCTTCCCCTGGAAGCTGTGTCTGTTTCTGGCTTCACTACATAGGGCGTCTAATTTTCATCCCTGACAGCTCCTACCTCAGGGCCTTTGCACTGCCTTATCCCTTTATCTAGAAAGTGCTTCCCATAAGTAGCTCATCCCTCATCCTTATGGTTTTTGCTCAAGTACTATACTAACTGAAGTTAAAATCACCCTCATATCACCACATAATTCTTATCCTGTTTAATTTGTCTTGTGGTATTTATTGCCATGTGGCATATTATATATTTTATTTCTATATTTACTTGCTCATTATAAAATCCATTAGGGAAGCAATGTTTTGCCTGCCTGTTTATGGCAGTATCCTCAGGCCCTTGAGGAGAACCTAGGGCACTCAGAAATTATTTGCTTGTGAGTCTTGAGGCAGGATAAAGAGGTCTCAGCTAGCCATTAATGGAAAAAGTAGACTATTGAAGTATGACAAGGGTAAAATGACAAGAGCTGAGTGGGCAGGGGTGAGGGAGAGAAAGAATGAGAGGGTCCTGCTTGGGTCTCTGTATGGTGGCATTAGCCAGGAGAGATTGTGTGGGATTGAATGGATCCTTAGGGAAGACACTAGGTTCGGGTTGGGAACCTCTAGGACAACATGTGCAGTCACGTGCTGCTTACACGACAGAGATGCATTCTGGGAAATGTGTCCCTAGGTGATTTGGGTGGGAATCTCATCCAGTGCACTTTTATAGACTAAGATGGCTATCATGTCACTAGGCAACATACTCTTAAGGACTGATATCCTACTCTCCATCACTGACCAAAACATGCTGCAGGTGACTCTACATACATACTACAAGTGCGTGGGCTACAGAGGCACAGGGAGAAAAACAGATATGCACATATGTGCACACTCACACACTCAAGCATAATCATATACATAAACGCATATACAATTATATACATTAATAAAACATGTATACGTTATTGCCAAAGCATTAGATTCCATACTGTGTTTAAATTCCTGCATATTGTAAGGAGAGGTAAGGCAAATTAAAAAAACTAATTCCACATATAAGAGAGATAGCTATCCATAATGTCTCCCAGCCTTACCATCCTAAGACAGAAGGACACCTCTTAACCAGATCGACCCCTGTGCCCCCTGTCTTAGGAAATCCAGGGAACTGATATAAGATAAAGAAAATGAACAAGAACAGACAATCTAAGCATATTTACATCACGAACAGCCAGGAGACAGCAAGAGAGGTTAGGAAGACCGCCGAGCACTTGAAGCTAAGGAAGGTTAGAAGTTGCAAGTGGGAGACAGTAGCGCTCCTGTGGCTGTCGCTGGTGGAGAGTCTCAAGAGTGTCAGCCATAGGAAGCAAAGAGAGGCGCAAGTCTGCTGTCCATGAAGGCATGGCCACCTGTGGTGCGTCCTCTGGAATTTAAATCTTACATTTTGGCCACCATCTCTTTGAATGTGGTGGTGTCTTAGGAGCCCAGGATGTAATTCTTTGATTGTACACAGGCCCAATGGTCATCCTATGCAACACTGGCATGGCTTCCAGCTTCTGCAAAACTGTGGCCCTCTTTCCCTTGTCCTGCCATTTGATTTCATGTATCACACAGGCCAGATGTCAGATTGGTTAGTGGAGGTTGACAGGGATAAGAGTTCCCATTGCAGTGTGACAAGAATCGTGAGGTGTCACAAATTGTTACAGATCAAAGAATGGTGGCAAAAAATATACATACAGGTAAGAGAAATTCATTCTTACTTGCAACTTCAAGCTAAATCAACAAACTAAGAAACAGTTCTGGGCGAACATGATGCATATATCCCAGCAGTCTGGGAGACTGGGACAGGACTGCAAGTTGCTGCCCAGCCTGCTGGACAACTTAGATTCTATCCTAAGGCGCGCGCGGGGGGGGGGGCATTAGAGCGAGGGCTGGGGCTGTAGCTCAGTGAAAGCTCTGAATTCAGTCCACAAGTACCACCAAAACCAAACAAACAAACAAACAAAACACCTCTGTATTCTTTTCTGATATGCTGAAGATCACCTGTCCAGGGCACATCTCTCCTCCTTTTAGAACCAATGATCAAGAAGCAGCAAAAACTTCCCTTCTCATCCTAGGACTTTTCCTGCCCCTCTTCTCTACAGCCAACGTAAGCTCAATGTAAATGTTTCTTCTCCCCAAAATGTCATTCCAAAACACCTTGGCTCCTTCAGTCTGGAGGGCATTTTCCAACTGCTACCTGTACATGCTGCTGGTGAGGTAGAGAATTTATATTAGGATTGCTCCTTTTACCTTTGGCCAGCATCCTAAACTTAATAACCCTTTATTTCAAACATGTCTTGGTCTCAAAAGTGTGAGAGCAAGAAATGGTGTTCTTACGAATTCAAGATGAGGAATTTTAGACTATTTGACATATGTCAATGGTTGTCAAAAGAAAACAGGTTTAGACAACTCATTACACAGGTACCCTCAAGTATGAAAATTAATTCTAAAAAACAAATAACGTGTTTGAACAAATATGTATGTCAATTTAACAGTTCCAAATACCCCTCCAGTTTTCAGAGCTGTAATTTCTTTCCAGTTATGATTTTAATATAAGATAAATATTTTTATATTTTATAGCGCAATTGTTTCCGTTTGTTGATAAGTTAAACTCATTAAAAATTTAATAAGCTCGGTAAATTTTTTTCAATTAAAATATTTGTAAGATGCACATCACATGTTACAACGTGGTTCCAACTAAACCGCACAATCATTTTGAGTACAGGTTCATCCGCATAGATTTGGTCCCTTTCAGCTACCGTAGCGTTCCTCAGCAACTTCCGCCTTTGACGTATCTCCGCGGGGAATGCACTTCCGGTAACAGCACCTAGAGCGGCCGAGGCAAGATGGTGAGTGACTAAGGTTTTCGATAGCTAGTGGCGATACTAAGTGGTTGGAGTGGCCCGAAGCGCGCGAACTAGGCAGATACGCAAGGAAATCGGTCCGCTCTCTTCCCTCCCAAGGGCCCGGTGTCTCCCGCGAGCAGAGGTTCCCGGAGATGGCGCTCAGGTCCACGGTGGGCCGAGTCCGACCTGCTGGCCTGGCCAGGGACTGGGCGCGCAGGGTCCCCAGGCGAGCGACGGTTGAGTGGGCAACCTGGGTAGCTTTGCTGCTCCGCTGACCTGGGCTCCGCAGACCAGCGAGGGCACCTCCTAGAGGAACCGGGAAGGTGCTTTCTGAGCGGGTCAAGCAGCAGGATGAACGGTCGGCGCAGAGGGGACTCACCCCGGCCGAGGTTGGGGCTGGAGCGCTTCAAGGAAGCAGCCAAGGCGGACGCTTTATGACAGGCGGCGCTGGGTGTTGGTGGCCGCGGTGCAAGAGCAATACTAAACAGCATTTGTTCATTAGTTCGTTGAACAGTCGAGTACTTGCTTTGCTTTTTTTTGGCTAGGATCTGTTCTGGACAGGGTACAGGGGGTGGGGAGCAGGATGCCTTCGTGGCGTTTCCTTTCTAGAGTAGATGGGCAGTAAACAGAAGTATGTCGGGGAGCACAGTAGGGCTGAGCTGGCTGGCCACGGTTGTGTTGGGTGTTTTATAGAGATGGGGAAAGTAGCTATTTTCGATAAGGTGTCAGGAGGACCTTTGAGGGTGGAAGTTGAACAGGAGCTAAATCGGAGGGATACCCATACTAACATCAGAGGAAAACATAGTCTGGCCAGAAGGATCAGTAACTGCAAAGGACCAGAGATGGGATTGTGTTTAGCGTGATCATGAGCAACAAGGAAAAGGTCCAGACCATCCAGAGGTCTTCTGGGGACTTTGGGGTAGTATTCTGACTATAGGGCAGGTACTTCACCAGCATTTTGTCGTTATTCCAACAGTCCCTGGAGTATCCTCATCTCGCTAAAGAGGGCGACTGTGGTGGAATATGAACTGTGTCAGTTTTTTCTAATAGATATCTAGATTCTGTTGACTAGCAGACCTAACTGTTTCTGCCTTCACGTTGGACGAGCTATGACAGTAACCAAGTTCTTAACCTCTCAGGGGCTTGATTTCCTTATCTGTAGAACGGAGATAATGATAGTACTGTTATAGTTTTTGTAAAAGTTGACTCGGATGGGATAATACTTTGAGAATGTTTGGCACACTACTTGTGCATAGTACTTTGCACTGTTTGAGGTCGAGAAACATGTAAAATGTCCCAAACATGGAGTTTGGGACCAATTCAGGCAAATGTCGCCTGTTGGAGCCAGGTTTGTAGGATCTCACAAAAGGTACTTGTATAAGTCTAGAAAGGTTAGAAGTAATCAATTTGGCAAGGACTGGGTATGGCCAGGGAGCAGGTGACGGTGTTTGAGATGCAAAGGGTCAGTTTTGGATGTTTTGTCTTGTTTTGTTCTTTGGTTTTTTGAGATGGACTCATTGAGTAGTCCAGGCTGGCCTTGAACTAACTATGCAGTATAGGCTGGCCTCGAACTCAGCAGTCCTCCTGCCTCAGCCTTCTGAGTGCTGAAATTACAGGCGTCCACAGCTGGCTGTTTAGGAAGTAGCTGGATTGGTGAAACGAAAAACTGGACCCAGAGCTCTCAATTGGGAGGCTTGTTTCCGAACAAGAGATGACGATCCAGACCAAAACAAGGTTGGAGGCATGGAGATTAGAAAGAAAATGGCAAAAGAGAATGAAGAATGGATTTGGATTTTTTTTTCTTTTCTATTTCTTTTTGAGACAGGGTCTCACTATGTGTTTCAGACTGGCCTTGAACTCACTTTGTAGCCCAGGCCTGTCTCAAACTTGCAATGATCCTCCTGTCTGAGCCTCCCAAGTGCTGGGAGTACAGGCATGTGCCATCACACCTGGCATTTGGATGGTTTGTAGCCAGACTGATACTTAAAATCCTGACCTTACCCTTCCTTATTTCACCAATAAAACATTGGAGAAAAATTAATCTGTGTAATTGGTAAGTGATTTGCCTAGGTAGCTTCATTTTCAGCAACAGATAAGAGCTAGTATCTTCTTTGCTTTCCAGTGAAGGACAGCAGAACTCAAGGAAATGATCCGATTTATCCAAAGCCAAATAGCCTATAGTGATAAAGCCAGAATTCAAACTTGTATTCATCTTAATTCCACAGTCTTTGTTCTCAGGCTTGTCTCAGTTTCTCACCTATAAAAGAGGGAATAATGGGCTCTACCTTGGGGAGATTTAATGGAAATAATGAGGTAATGAAGTATAAAATTAATGAGCTAGTACAGAGTTGGGCACATAGTAAGGATCCCAGTAAACATTAGCTGCCCCAGTCACTGGCATGTTTCCTTACTAGGCAGAATTAATAAAACCCTGTAACTTGGACAGCCTATTTCAGCATGACTGGTTACCTAGAATCTCTCCCAAGTCCTTAAGTGCCTAGAGAATTAAAGCATGCAGTTTGTTGTTGATTTGTTTTGTTTTTGTTTGCAAGTGAGGAAATACATTTGACATTAACTTGGCTAACAAGGAAGCTGCTAGTATACTGATTTGAAAGGTGCCTACGTGAAAATGATCTGAGGGGCCTGAGAGCTCCTCTTAATTAATAAGTTCACGTTAATCATGTTTAAAATGACACCATTTCTAAGGTTTGCTCTGTGTTAAGCATTGATTGTCCTGTTAATGAAGGATCTATTTTAAGAGCAGAAAGTACAGTGTTTTTTGTAAATTCTTAACACCTTCAGGTGCTTTAGCTTTTCAAATTAGGAGGAAAGTCTTGCCTGAGAGCTCCTGGACTTCAGGGGTGGGAGGAGCTAAGCTGTTGAAAGGGGTCTTTGGGATCCTGTTGTGATCTCCCTAAAGAGTAAATGATTGTTGAGTGTACAGTGAAGTTCTTGTACTTGATTTCTTGAAATACACTAGTAGCCGCAGTGTTGTAGTTTTACATTAAAGAATGTCAGGCTCTGTACCTTTCCCTTGGAGGAGATCTTAGAACCTCAGCCCTCTTAGTTATGTCTACTTTATAACAGAGCTATTCTTGATGCTAAGATGTAATCAGTTATATGTACTCTCTATGGTACTAAATGCACACATTGGCTGCAAGGTACATCTTGGTTTCACAGGTGTTAAACTGAGAGGAATGTGTTGTGTTTCAGAGTCATAGTACCGTAAGATAGATATCCTTTTGAAGTGAAATGCTGAATTTATATTTGTGTCTGATATTTTTTCCCCCAGGGTCAAAGTCAGAGTGGTGGTCATGGTCCTGGAGGTGGTAAGAAGGATGACAAGGTAAATAAGAAGCCATGTAAGTCCTGTGATATGAGCAAATTGTGGAAAAATGTCAGTGGTATTGGCTGGGTTCTTTCGAGAGTCAAGAATTTTAGAAAGCAAAGTCATTCAGTAGTTATCTAACTAGCATGCCTATCAATGGTACACCCTTTTTGTGTTTTTAAAAGATTTACCTAACCATCAGATAGGTATTTATGAGATAATTATTTTAAATGAGTAAAAAGATTAGTGTTACAGAAGTTTTAAGGTAAATTGCCTATAATTTTAGGTTAAATATTATGAGGTCTGAAAAACTGTCTTATATTAAACTTTTGATATATAACTCAATTCTGATCTTTTTGTACCTTACTGGAATAACCTACTTACTGTCATTCAGTAATATCAAGAGATTATTTATTAAAATTGCAAGAATGTGAAACTTAGTTGTTTTGTTTTTTAAGGTAGCATTTTAATAGCATTCTAAAAGATAGGGAAGGGGCCAGGGATTTAGCTCAGTGGCACAAAACCTGGCAGGCAAGTGTGAGGTCATGAATTTGATCCCCTCCCCCAAGATAGGGAAAACTCTATCACATAGAAATACATGATGATGACACAGAAATAAGTTTGTGTTTTGTGACTTCCATATCACTTTTTTTTCTTAAAACCTCAAGGACAAGAAAAAGAAATATGAACCTCCTGTACCAACTAGAGTGGGGAAAAAGAAGAAGAAAACAAAAGGACCAGATGCTGCCAGCAAACTGCCACTGGGTAATGATAGTTTCTTCTTGCCAGGGAAAATCACCTCTATGCATGTGGCATAGTCTGCAAGGGGACATGGGAATAGGAAAGTGATTAGAGCTCTAGCTTTGTGGTTGTATCTCCCTTCCTCCCTTCCTCTAGATTGGCATAAAAGTTACACATTATTTTAAAATAGAGGGGGGGGGGTTGTTGTTGATTTGGTTTTGGTTTTGGTTTTTTTGGTATCAGGATCAAACTCAGAATCTTGTGTTTGCCAGGTAAAATACAGTATTATAGAAGTCTGTCTCACTTTTAAAAATTGCATTTTCTTTACATAGCCAGCTCATTTAGTGTATTAAAAGTACAGTTTTAGATTATAAAACCCAAGTTGAACTTAAGTATCTCAGAAACACTCATTTCATGAAATAAAATGAATTAAAAATTCAAATCATATGATGCCTGAACTTAAAATTTTCAGTGGCTGCCTGCTGAACATAAAATTACAGTAGTTGTGACCCAGCTCACCTCTCCTTGCTTAGCCCTGCCACTCCCTTTTGCTTATTTGTCATACTGTCTTATGTCCTTTGAGATCTTTGTCCTTACTTTTACCTGTGCTTGAAATGTTCTTCCCTGGGTCCTTCCCCTGCATACCTACTTCTCTTCTCTTTAGGTTTCAACACAAATATTGTCCCTACCCTTGCTGAGAAATACCTCTCTCAGAAGTCTAAGATACTGCTCAGTGTTACACTTGAGATCTTACTGATTGAGCGTAATTCGGACTCATGCTATACCTGCCTCATGACCTTGCTCTATAAAACTTCCTTTGAGAGTTGGGCTCAACCCATTCAGGATCCCTCCTGGCTCTCAGGAACTATTCCTTTTCCCTGTTCCCCACTCCTATTCCCCATTCCTTTTCTCCAATAAATTTTCCTCCTTTGAACCTCAAAATTTTTTTGCTCACTTAAGAATGAAAGGGAGCAGGTGTAGTGATGCTTCCCTGTATTCCCAGATACTTGGGAGGCTGCACAGGAGGACTGCAAGTTCATTGCCAGCCTGGGCAAAATTGAGATGCTGTCTCAGGATTTTTTAAAAAGGGTTGGGATATAGCTCAGAAGTACAGTGCTTGCGTTGCACGCTCAAAGCCCTGCGTTTAACCCTCAGTACCTCCGAAAAAAACAAGAGTCAGATAGTAAAACCATCAGTAAAGAATCAGCTGTTAGTCTACTATAATGAGTCCGTGCCAGTACAGAAAGAGAGGTCATGAGAACGGAATAGGAAGCCTAAAAACAGTCAGGTTGTATGGCTATTTAATGTATGTTGAAGGTGACACCTCAATTCTATGGGGAATGGGATGGGATACTTAATATAAGTAGTCTCCATTTTTTCTTTTTTTTTTTTTTTTAACTTTTATTTATTTATTTAGATACCAGGGATCAAACTCAGGACCTTACACTTGCCAGGCAGCTGCTTGTGCCATTGAGCTGTATCCCTGGTCCTTCCATGTTCTGTTTTTCTGTCCAGAGAAAATTAAATTAGATCACTTGCTTCGTGTCAGATGGATTACAGCAGCTCCAGTGGTGCAGTCAGATAGCACACAGTACATATACATGGATTAGAGACCATGAAAGAAAACAAATAAATGAAAATCAAGGAATATGTTTAACCATAGGGAAGAAGCAGCTTTTTGAAGTTAGAAAACTTGGAAACCATAAGAAAAAGTTAACAGATTTTTCTATAGAGAAAATTCCTCTGTGGCACAAGACTTCAAAACAAACCCAAAAGAAACAAAGTATAGAAAAAATATTTGCCACATATGACAGAGGTGGTTGATAGACCTGATACTGTAAAATTCCATCAGTGGATGAGTACATGTAAAGCTAGCCTGCAACAAAGTATGCTAACTGAGCAGGAACTGTCTATTTTGTATCCATGGGAACAATAACCAAACTATCTTTTGTGTCAGTGCCTTTTTTCTTCTAAGTAAAACAGACTGTTGAGTGAACATGTTACTTTTTGCTCACTATTTGTCACAAACCCCATCCCCATGCTTGGTTGTAACTGCCAGAATTATTCTCCCTTTTTCCTCTTGGCATTTGCTTATTGCTTATTGGGGTCAGCAACTTTGAATTTTTCAGAGTTCTTTTTTTTTTTTTTTTTGAGGTAAGGTCTTAGTTTGTAGAATGAAAGGGAACAGCTGCAGTGCTGCATTCCTGTAATCCCAGATACTTGGGAGGCTGCACAGGAGGACTGCAAGTCCTGTGGCAATCCTCCTGCCTCAGCCTCCCAAGTGCTAGGATTACAGGGGTGCACCACCATACCCAATTTAGAATATTGAAGTGAATTTTATTTTAAAATCTTAGTATTTTTTCATTAATTACAAACTTTAAATTCCAAGATGATACTTATTTTTTAATTACAGTGACGCCTCACACCCAGTGCCGTTTAAAACTACTCAAGTTAGAGAGAATTAAAGACTATCTTCTCATGGAGGAAGAGTTTATTAGAAATCAGGAACAAATGAAGCCGTTAGAAGAAAAGCAAGAGGTAAGTGCAGAAGGTACTGTAATGTTCTTTTTTTTTTTTTTACAAATTCTATTTAGAATTCAAAACTGTCAACAAATAATGAGATTTCAGGAGTTGCACCTATCCAGACTTTATGAAACCTCATTAGCTACCTTTTGAAACTTAGTTGCCTCATAAACCTGGTAAACTATTAGGGCCATTCACTTTTCAGGTATAATGTACTTTTTCTTCACGGTGTATTCATTTAGGAGGAAAGGTCAAAGGTGGATGATCTGAGGGGAACCCCAATGTCGGTAGGAACCTTGGAAGAGATCATTGATGACAATCACGCCATCGTGTCTACATCTGTGGGCTCAGAACACTACGTCAGCATCCTTTCATTTGTGGACAAGGACCTGCTGGAGCCAGGCTGCTCAGTCCTCCTCAACCACAAGGTGTGTTGTTTTTCTCCGGGAAACCTATGAGAATGGTGAGGAGTTTGTTTGTTTTTTGGAACTGAGAATCAAACTCAGGACCTCGCACTTGCCAGGCAGGCACTGAGGAGTTGGTTCTTCCACTTAGCTCCATCTTCCTGTCCCATGATGTGGTCACCGGAGCACTCCTGGTGGCAGAACGATGCTGCGAGGGCTGTGCTTCACTGTAAACGTGTTGCGGTTCCCTCGTGTTCCTGTGCTGAAGCTTGATGTTGCTTGTCAGGTGCATGCTGTGATCGGGGTGCTGATGGATGATACAGATCCTCTGGTCACAGTGATGAAGGTGGAAAAGGCCCCCCAGGAAACCTATGCTGACATTGGTGGGTTGGACAACCAAATCCAGGAAATTAAGGTATGGCTGGGAGCCAGTTCTAGGGTGTTAGATGTTAGTTTCTTATTGCTGTCCCATTTAAGGTACTTTGGAGTTGGTTTGGTTATTCTTTGTCATTATCAGACTGGTGACTGACTCAGAGCTTGCTTGTTGTGGTTGTGTTAATACTGAGCAGAAGGAACAAGTGTACGATAGTGCCTGCAGCAGCAGCAGCACTGAACTGCTTTTTATATGTAGTATTCAATGAACTGTCTATGTGAAGACACGCTGAATCCAGTGCAGCTGTGGGTACCTGGAAACACCTAGTGTTGTATGAAGGTAGCACATTTACCTGCGAATCCTTATGATGTGATGCGTTTAGAACACATAATCCCAGGGCTATCTGTAGTTTAACACATTCCTGCCAACCTGACCCATGGGAATGCATGCATGACCATCCCATTGGGCAGCATGGGACGTCCGTCAGGTGATACGTGCCGCACAGGGAGGCCTTCTTGGTGATTCACAGCTACCTGGCATTAGACATATAAATTACTGCCCCCTGCTGTGAATGCATTAAATGAAAAGGTGAGTGTTCTCTTTCTTAGGTCCCTTTTGCTCAGGAGTAGCTTAAATGTTGCTCAGAGCTGACTTGTACTAGAAAATAAAAGGGACATTGGGTGTAATTTAGAAGAGATGGCTGCTAGAAGCTCATACGTCCTTGGTGCTGATAAATGTCAAGAAAACATCGTAAGAAAAAAGATTTTTCACTTAATTTTGTTGCAAGATAGTCTCATGATGTAACACGCTAATAATATGAGAAGGAAACCTTTCATTTTTACCCAGTGTTTGTTTTCTGTAGGAATCTGTGGAGCTTCCTCTCACCCATCCTGAATACTATGAAGAAATGGGTATAAAGCCCCCTAAGGGGGTCATTCTCTATGGTCCGCCTGGCACAGGTATGCTCTGTGTTTGCCCCTCTGCAGGCACTCCACCTGTATGTTGAGCAGCCTCCTTCATTAGTTATAATTACAACAGTGTCCACTGAGGACACCACAGTTCCTTATTTTAAAACAGGTGCTCAAGGCCTGGGCATACAGTTCATTGCTAGAGCACATTGCTTAGCAAGCATGAAGCCATAGGATCAATCCCCAGCACTCCTTTCTTCACCAAAAAACAAAGCAACAGTGACCAAAACCAAAATAGGTGTGCCAGCTTGCTTTTACAGGTGCAGGAGAGCCACCTTGGTACATTCAAATACTCTGATGTTGGTTCTATGCCCAAGAACTTTGATATATTTGTCTGAAGTGTGGTGAAGCCTTCAGAACCATCATGGAGAACTGCTGTAAAAGCTATTCTGGGGTATTCAGATGAGGTCTATTTCCCTGTCAGAATGACACTGAAGACATTTGACGGATGAATAAAAATTATATTTGAGTGTGTAATGAGTGGACAGGTTGCAGAGAGCAGGACCTAGAGTATAGTCATTTGGCTGAGAGACTTGAAACAGTGTTCCTGAGTGTGCTGATCTGTGCTGAGGGTTGCCCACATTGGGAGGGCATGGGGGTGGGGGAACACAACTGGGAGGCCTGTGCCCAGAAGCCTGGCACTAGAAGAGACCACTCCCGCAGCTCCTCATCTTCTAGCTCTGGAAAGGAACTGTTCAGAGGCTGGGCTTGCTTGTCGAGTCCAGGGCTTGCTTTTCTCTGGGTGGTAGCTGGTACCCCGATGGAGCTGGAACACAGGCCTCCTCACCAAAACCCATGTGTCTTCTGCAGGACATCGACCCTGAACCCATGTGCTTCCTACAGGGGTGCAGCATCTAGTGGGCATGCCCCTCAAAGGAGTGGAGTCTTACTCCATGATTCCCTGATCTTTGAAGCAACCTAGCAGCTAGTATTGGCAGAACTAAAGATCCCCTCCGTATGAGAGGGCCTTTTGGTCTTTCACCTGTGAAAGACCAAGGGGGTAGCCTTTTCACCTGGCACTCTCCTTTCTGACTAAAAGGAACAATATTGCCATATGTCACAAAGCTTAGCTCCCTGTCCTTCCCACTCTGGAGCCCTGGACTCTCCCTAGCTAGCTGCCTTCTCCCCTTGCTGGTCTCAGGGTGCTGGTTCCTCAGATGCCTCTAATTATGAGGCAACACCCAGGCCCTCAGGCACGTCCTCCCTCACCCCCAGAGAGGCCAAGGTTTTCCAGCATTGAAATTCTCAGAGTCATTGCTGTTTGCTGAGTTTTTGTTCTTAATCTGAAAGAAGTGTATCAGAATACAGCAGTGTTGGAAGTATTATTTTAAATTTCTCTAAGAAGTCAGGTGTGGTGGTACACACCTATAATCCCAGCACGCGGGAGGCTGAGCCCAAAGCTAGTCCCAACTGCATAGCAAGACCCTGTCTCAAAAAGACAAAAATAAAAAAATCCTTTTTTTTAAATCTCTCTAAGATGAGTGAGGAACTCCTTGGCCCTTGAAGGGGCATGCTTCAGATTAGAAGTCTCTCAGGCTCTCACCTGCGGGTTCCACTAAGAGCTCCTCTTTGCTCAGCTGTCTGGCTGGGAGTGTGGCCACCTAGAACTCCTCTCTTGACAGCAGGGCCGTATGGATTGTGCCCGGGACCATATCCAGTGTCCCTTTAGGGTCAAAATCCTAGACTTCGTTTCATCACTGACAGTTCATGGGAGTTTAGTTGGTCCTCTAACTGTGGGTTGTAAAGGATCAGGTTAATTTTATGGCATAAAAAATACAGTGAGTGTTTGAGGGAAATTTTTTTAATTTAAAATTTTAATTAATTAATGCCATTAATACCCCTTGCTTCTAAAACACTTACATCTTGTTACAGTGAAAGACATACTGCCATCCATCTCTCTCTCATCATCTCTCTCTGTCTCTCTGAATACTCCCCCTCACTTCAAATACATTTGTCTTGTCAGTAAATGTGTCTTTTACTATAGTAAGTTTTTAAAACTTCAAGCATTTACTGCATTTGTTGGTCACCTCTTGTATATGAAAGGATCCTGGAAAGGCTAACCTAGAGAAAAGGTAAGATCTGTTTCGTTGTTAGCACAAAACAGTTCTTCCTACTTGTCAAGGAAACTTTGGATCAAGATTTGAATGCAACCAAGTATCTAGGGCCGGGGATGTAGTTCAGTGGCATAAGCGCCTGCCTGGCAAGCATGAGGTTGAGTTCGATCCCTGGTCAAAAAAAAAAAAGGTTTTCTGAAGTGTTATCAAGGTTTATGAAAATAATTCAAAATAATCCAGACACGTTAATAGATATATAGTTTCCCCACCTACTCTGGTTAAACATTTGATGGTGGAATCTTTTTTTATCACTAGGGTCTGTCCCCTTGTAGTGTCCTGTTAAGGTAGTAACATCTCTGTAAGTTACAACAACACTTGACATGCCCTTCTTTTATCTTTTTCTTTTCATTTAAAACAGGTAAAACCTTGTTAGCCAAAGCAGTAGCAAACCAAACTTCGGCCACTTTCTTGAGAGTGGTTGGCTCTGAACTTATTCAAAAATACCTGGGCGATGGGCCCAAACTTGTACGGGAATTATTTCGAGTTGCTGAAGAACATGCACCATCCATTGTGTTCATTGATGAAATCGATGCCATTGGGACCAAAAGGTAGAGCATCTTTTACCTGTTGCACTTTATTCTGAGGACAGGTCTTCTCTGAGAATGAAGAGTGTTGGGCTCTGCCTATGTGGCGAGCTCTTGCCATGGCCCGCTGGGTGCTTTAGGTCCTACTGTCTCAGAGGCCAGATGACAACTACCAGAACTGGGAACTGGGACTGTCTGGACAATCATGACTAACCGCCAGGACCGTCAGGACTCTGGAGACACAGCTGTGGCCATGGCAAGGTCTCCCCAAGGAGTTCACAGTCACTACACAGTTGGAATAAATGATAGTTTCAACCCCAGAAACTGCTGCGAAGTATTGTGATCTGTAGCATGGCTCATTGGGTCATCTGAGTCCACTTGTATTAATTACTCTAACCGAATCATAGACAAGCTAATTTATGAAGATGGAAGTTTATTTCCCCACAGTTCTGGAGTCTGAAATGTCCAGTGTCAGGAGGCTGGTGTTGGAGAACAGTGAGCTGCTCCCAGGATGGCACCTCGCAGCTTAGCTCTCCAAAGGAGACCGCTTCCTCTGTTGTGTCTTTATATGACAGAAGAACAGACAGAGCCAGGGCTAGTTCCCACCAGCCCTTTTCTAAGGCATCACTTTCCAGCAGCCACACCTCTGAGTGCAATCACAGTGTGGGGATTCAAGTTTCAGCACTTAGGTTTCGGGGGACACACTCCGACCATAGCAGTGGAGTGCTGATTTGGCTGTCACAGTGTGAGGGAGCACCACTCAGATTGTGAAGAGAGTATCAAGGTGTAGTGTCACGATAAAGTCCTGTCATTCCCCTTTAGATTAGATCAGTTGGGTCTTCATTTTATTTCTTCTTTTCCAAAGATACGATTCAAACTCTGGAGGTGAGAGAGAAATTCAGCGAACAATGTTGGAACTGCTGAACCAGTTGGATGGATTTGATTCACGGGGAGATGTGAAGGTTATCATGGCCACAAACCGAATAGAGACTTTGGATCCAGCACTGATCAGACCAGGTTAACTTTGCTTTAGGTTCAAATGCAATTAATGTGTTTATGTGTGCTCCTATTTTAAGTGTGCTCTGGGTGCAATTATAAAATGATGTATATGTGGCTTACACTGTAGTAAAACTGGGAATTCTAATTTACCAAAAATATGCCTCCTTGAGATAAGGAACAGCACTCTGGAGCTTGTCCAGCCTGGCCCTTCTACTGCTTCTTTTTCTTAAAGAAAGAATTCATATGATAGCTTGGGCTTATTCTTTTCTCTCTTTTTTTTTTTTTGTTTGGTCCTGGAGATCAAAGTCCCGACCTCGAGTTTGCCAAGCCAGCACTTCCACCACTGAGGCAAACCCCCGGCCCCTTATTCTTTACATTCAGGAGGCACTAAAAAAAGTAATTTGTGCTCTTTTATAATGTTTTTACCAAAGTAGGCCTGTCCTTTGTCACTAAGAACAACTCCTTTCATGTATTTCTCTTGGCAGAAATTTCTTTTAAATGGGGTGCATTCAAGTGTAGAAATTTACCAAGTAGAGAAATGATCTTCACTTTTAAGGACTTGGATGCCATTCCCACACGATGCCATCCAATGGCAGTTGCTTGTTTTCCTGTAAAGAAATGGGGTGAGACCTCATTCTGGGGCAGGGCAGAGCAGGGCTGGACAGCGTGTGATGGAAAGCTGTGCACTTGCAGGGCGCATCGACAGGAAGATCGAGTTCCCCTTGCCCGATGAAAAGACCAAGAAGCGCATCTTTCAGATCCACACAAGCAGGATGACACTGGCCGATGATGTAACCTTGGACGACCTGATCATGGCCAAGGATGATCTCTCTGGTGCTGACATCAAGGTGAGCTTCCAGGTGGTGGGCTCACCCTGGAAATGCGGCCATCCCTCAGGACAGACCGTGAGCTCTCAGGGTTAGGGCAGGGATCTGGGTAAATGGGGTGTAATGTCATGATGTCATGTTGGCGAGTGCCTACAGGGTAGATTCACTTTTTATTTAAAGCCATTAATCCATATTTTATGAAATAAGTGCCCCTGAAGCTCTGTAACCACAAGGATAAGTCAGTGACGCTAAGCTTACCGCCTTCCCTGCACAGCCTTGCTCAGATGTGCGGGCCACTCAGTCCCAGCAGAGGAAGGGGGCTGCCACCCACTGCACTCGTGTTCCTACTTTGTCTTTTCATGGACGACACCCTTGGTTTAATCACAAATGTACATGAGTTAGAGCATTTGTTCCCAGCTGCCTGGGTGTACCAAGGCCTGTGTCATTGCATGTGGGCACTACCTGCTGTCCTCAGGTAGGACTGGGTCTTCACTGACAGAAGCCCCCTGGTTAGGTAGGAGTGGCACATACAGTACTCTTTTGGCGAGCTCTGCACTGAGTCTCTGGGTGACTGGCATTAGTGCTAGAGAGCTAGGGGAGTAGCTTAATTGATGAATAAAATGTATCTTTCTTTTTGGTACAGGGGATTGAACTCAGGACCTTGTGCTTGCCAGGCAGGCACTTACACCACTGAGCTAAAGCCCTGGCTGTCTTCCTTTCCTTTTTTTTTGTTTTTTTGGTGTTTGTTTTTTTTGTTTTGTTTTGTTTTAATAGATTACTTTGTAATTGTTCACCAGCTTTTTAAATTTTTTTGAGACAGGGCTTTGCTAAGATGCCCAAGCTGAGCCCAAAGCTGTGACCCTCTCACCTCAAGCCTCCTAGAGTGCTAACTTACAGGCGTGCTCCACTGGGCCTGGCTGTTGTCACCCATTTCTGTACATAGACACTCACTTTTTGGCTAAATCACTTGAAGTAAATAACCTGGTGACAATACCCAAGCAGAAATTTTAGTGCCATAATTTTGTTTTTATCGCATGTTGAAAGTTCTTGTTGCTTTCCTATTGATAAGTAATTGGTCTGAAACTGAGAAAACAAGTATTAGAATTAGCAAGTTCTGCAGTTTACAGTATCTAAGCAGAACAAATGTTCTGCTGTAAGTAAGTAAAATGGACACGTGCTCCCAATTACTTCTAAAGTTCAGGGTATATTTTCCTAGGAAGTCTCCCTTTAGGGTAAGTACAGTTACAGGAATTTACCGACCTGGCAAAGCCTGGCGCCCACAGCCTTGAATCCAAGCCAGTCTATTTTCTAAATTATCACTATTTCTAGGTTTAAGCCATCCCAGATTCTTTCAAAAATTAACAGGGATGCTTAGAATGTTTTAAAAATATTCTTTTCCCAAATGAGCAATTGTATTTAGTCTGTCTTATACCTGATTTCAGAATAACTGTATTGTGTAAGATAAAAATATTTCACTTTCTGAACTTACCGTTTGTTCCTTCAGGCAATCTGTACAGAAGCTGGTCTCATGGCTTTGAGAGAACGTAGAATGAAAGTAACAAATGAAGACTTCAAGAAATCTAAAGAAAATGTTCTTTATAAGAAACAGGAAGGGACCCCTGAGGGGCTGTATCTCTAGTGAACCACAGCTGCCTTTAGGCAAGTGGTTGGGACTTTTCTCAACCCTGGGAAGGACGAGGTTTGGGGAGGTGCCGAAGGAGACTGTGTTACAGTTGGTTTTTATTGGCAAAGCATGTCGTGTCTTTTCCAGTATGACGTTCGGTGCCTACTGGATGGCCTTTGTCTGTGGTCACTGTGCTGCTTGCTCTCTGCTTCCCAATAAAATGTACTCTTTCACAAACACCCTGTGTCTCCACCCAGCCTCAGCAGCAACTGTGAGGAGCCCACATTGCAGTACCTGTTCACCCCACTTCATACTCCAGAGTTGAAAAGGCAGTAATGGTAACAATCACACGGTATTGTTTTCAGAGGAAATAGCTTTCCTCTGTGGTCCGTGCAGATTCCCGGCACTCTAGGGGATACGGGTACAGACACACCATGAGGCCGAGGCAGTGATGGCAAACACTTCAGAGCCTTCAGTGTAACGCACAGCCTGCTGTGGCACGCATCCCACAGGTTTGCCACCACTGAAGAAAAGGTTCCTAGAAGAGAACTCGGGGCTGGAGCACTCACACCATCCTTGTCTTTCCATGTTCTTGGGCTCAGGAACCTCATCATCTTCAAGAGTGTTCAAAACACAGATTTCTTTCCCTTTCCTTTAAAGGAACTGGGCCTAAAGCTCTTAGGTGGAGCAGATTAAGGTAAGCATCTACCTGGCAAAAAGATTTTAAATTCAAGGCCAATCTGAACTATTTCAGACAGCCTGCTTCAGAAAAAATAAAGGTTTATCTCAGTTCTAAGATGAAAAGTCTAGCTCTGGTCATAGGGTAAAATCACGCTGTGGGAAAAACTACATTTGTTTTTTAGAGGCTCAACGACATTTCCTCATGGGGTTTGTGGGAGACAATTTGAATGACTCCCCTTGAATGCAGAACAGTTGCTGTGACTTATATCAAGCCTTATACTGATATGTACAACGCCAACCATGGTATTTCTGTCTTCAATTAGCTCTAAGCATTGCAAATAAGGCTGGCCAGGTACTTGGTATATAATCTCTAAAGCTGTCAGACAGTCTCCTGTTTCCTCACATAGTGCTCTGTAAGATATGAGCACAGCAGGATGGTAGAGCCAATCAGCTCCAGGAGTGTCAACTGGGTGTGAGCCTCCAAATAAAAGGGCTATGAGTTCCCAGGGCACAAAAGTTTACATGTCAGAAACTGAAGCAACAGCCTCCAAAAACAATTCAGTTTCTACCTTAATAGAATTATGCAGATTGATCCTTCTGCATGTTATTCTCCCTGCCTGGCTAGTCAGCTCAAATTACTCATAGTTCCTGCCATCCTTAAGCCATCCCTTCTTCACAAGATAATAAATTCTGGGAGAGGCCTTAGCTTAGGGCCTTTGCCCACACATCCTCACGGGGATTGGGCTTAGGGCCCCTGGGCTGCCCTTTGAATGTCCTGGTGACTTTACTGTCTCGCCCTAGGTCGCATTGCAGATGGTAGATTGGAATGAATTAACTTGCTAGGATTCCCATACATCTCAATGGGACTACAAATATAACGTTTTGGGTTGTGAGGAAGACTGGAAAAGGGATTACAATACTTGGGTTATTGTACTCAATATTTGGGATTACAATAGAGGTTTGCTGGCAGACCTATTTGTGGGAGTCACAGGTCTTTCCTTGCTGGCCTCCCAGTTTGAAGTTTTCCTCTATCCTCAGAGCAACAGCAGCTCAAGCACCTATAAAGCTGAGTCTCCTGCATTTCTTCTGTGTGCACATCTCGGGTCATCTACCTCCCTTTTCTACTTGGACCCTTGTGATTACACTGGGCTCACCTAGATAGTGCAGGATGACCTTTTAAAGACAGTTTCTGTTTGCTAAGTTCCTTACTGTTCAACAGTCACAGGTCCCAGCACTTGGGTGTGGCTGTCTTCGGTGAACCACTCTGCCCACCACAGAGAACATGCGAACATGAGCAGTCTGGTGCAGGAAGAGGACGGGGGCAGTTAGGGGCACCCCATAGAGTGTAGAGTGAGGGGCAGTGCTGCATGGGGTGTTGCTGTGAGCAGGTGAGGATGGCATCCAGCTGGGGTGCTGGGGCTCAAGGCAGAATGACACAACCATGGGAGCTGGGGGGAGGGGCGCGCTTGAAAAGGCAGCCTGATGAGAACCCTTTCCTGTCTTTGTCATGGTCCAGGAAGGTTTATATTGTAATCCCAAGAAGTTGTTACTGGAATTCTAATCAGTTAATTCCAATCTACCACTTCCAGTGCAACCCATGGTGAAAAGAAAGACAGAGACATATACACAGTTGTGGGAAGCCAAAGGGTCCTAGGACCAGCCAAGATGGCGGTTCACAGAACCAAGGCCTCGGCCCAGAGCCCAGCCCAGATTTTACTAACTCTCCATGAGGGGAATGGCTTGGGGATGAGTGACGGAATAGCAGGGAGTACCTGACTATCATGACTACCATGAGCTGGGCTACGTAGAGGTCTGAGATCACCTCTGCGATAAGCAGCAGGCGAGAAATGCAGAGAGCAGTGCTTCAGTTCAGTTTTTGCTCTGGGAAGTCACAGCCCCTTTCTCAAGGCTGGGCTGACAGCGACAGTGGACAGTGTAGAGCATGGCTCTCCACCCTGCCCGGCTCAACCGTGCATCTGGAAGGCAGGGGTGGGGTAACACTGACCTGTGGCTTTACTCAGAGACTACACATCACTTCTCAGCCAGCCCAACTTACACTGCTTAAAGCCATTTGAAGGGACAAAGAAATAGCCTTGGCAGCTCTTTACATACCAATACTTGGAGGTAGGGCCAAGTTTATGCAAAATGGAGAAAGCTGCTTTTCTTTTCAAGGAGAACCATCTATGTAGTTCCCCACACTGGAACCCATACAGGCAAGGAGGGCATCAACGTGGAAACGGGCAGTAGAGGAAGGGTGGCAGGAGTAGGGAGTGTCAGATGAAATAAGGAAAAGGCAAAAAAAGAAAAAACCAGAAGTCTGTCCACCGAGAGCACCTGGGAACCTCCATGTGCCAACAGCAAAGGGCACACCTACACCCACATCTTTGCTCCTAAACACCACTCTTCACTACAAGGAGCCGGGGCTCAGCTGGGGCGGTACCAGATAAACGTGAAACACATTTAGGCAGAAAGCAGGGCAGTGCTCAGCAGAATGATTGGGACGAGTCCAAAGGGGACAAGCTGACCTGAAGCTGCTTCCAAGGGCCAGATCTGAGCATCAAAATAATGTCAGTGGAATATAGTTCTTTAAACAAAACAGGAATTAAACTCATTCTAATACAAAAGGATAAAAAGTTTCACGAGGAATGGGGTAGTATCTCCCTGTAAAACACTTTTCTATTAGACCCAGCTTCATATTGGAGAAATTCAGACAATCAGTGATCAAAGTGAACACTCAGTAATGGATAGCATAGAAGTACATGGCACACAAGAGGTGTCACCACTGTGACATTCCTGGCTCAAGATGCTCTGCCTCAATCAACTCAAGAAACATCGGTAAACACAAACTAAAGGCATTCCACAAATTCAGGATACTCCAGACATGTCCAAACAACAAAGTCAACTTAAAAGCTGCAGACTGAAGACCAGGGACATGAAAGCCAAATTAACTCATGATCCTGAACCGGATCCATTTCTGTCAGGAGACATGAGGACCACTGGCAAAGCGCAGGGCTGGAAAAACACAGGAGTACCGTACCTATGCTCATTTCCTGTTTGCTGCAGTCACCTGTAGGAAACTCAGCCACTTACTGATGGCTCAGGGGAAAAGTCCTTTGTAATGCACATCTGCCTCGGTATCCGTGCGTTTCAACCAACTCTGGGGCAAAAGTATTTTGGGCAAAAAACTGCAGCTGCACTGAGTATGTAGAGCCCTCTTGTCACTTTGCATACAACAAAGGATGCACAACAATGTTTACACAACATTTATAGGGCCCTGGCTCTTGTAGGCAGTGTATAGGTGGCTTACAGCACATGGGAAGATGTGCATAGGTTATATGCAAATGTATGCGGCCTTATACAAGGGACTGCAGCATCCTTGGATTCTGGGATTTTCAAGGGATTCTGGGACCAACTCCTTATGGATAGATACAAAGAAACAAACTACTTAAAACTTTTCTCTAAGTTTCAGGTTAAGAAGTGAAACCCACATAGTACACCCCTATTTCCTCCTAGGTAATTTTCAGGTCCTTTCTTCCTCTACCCTTAGGGAAAGTCTCCACGGTATCCACTGCACAAAAGCAGCCAAAGCAAAGGCAGTGCTCGAGGTCGGGTAGAGGGAGGTGGGGAGCTAGGGTCAAGCCAGAAATGCACTCCGTTCCCTTGTTGACCAAAATAATGCGGAAATTACCATTCCTACAGATGGTCACCACGGCCTAGAGTGCCTCGCACTGGGGATGCCGGACTGAAGCGCTTGGGTAACAAGGATTCTCAGAACCGTAACAATCTTCCCCGGCTTCTTCCACCTGGGGCGCAGGGCAGGGACAACCCTGCCACCCATGCAACAGCCAGTGCTGTCTGCGGCCCTCCCTCAGCAGTGCTTTGGGGGAACTCAACACTCTCACTGCAATATCTGGCCTTCCCCAGAGACCACCAGTCACTGTTTAGTAAGGAGTATGTGTGTGATAAGCAGCCGGAAGCAGAGAGAAGCCTCCACTTACGTGGACAAAGTACAGAGCACACCTCCCAGCTCCTCTTCCTTCCCAGTAACCCAAAGTTGGCCCTGCGTCGCTCAAGAACACTGTCCCACACACCCAAGGCCTGGCCGAGCCCTGGGGTCTGATGTGGTCAGCCATTCCCCCAGCAAGCAGCCACCACTCCTGATAAATGCAACAGCGATGGTCCGATGCCATGGGTGGGCCTAAAACCCCTTCTCTGCCCACCAGATTTACTGTCCATCACCTTACAGACTCAAGTCTAATAATCTTTTAACCAGGCTTTTAAAAAAAAAATTCTTTATAGTGCTGCAGATTGAACCCAGAGCCTTCACACATACCCCGCCCCACTCCACATCCTTGAGGCAAGGGTCTTGGTGAGTCCGGTTGTCCAGGCTGGGCTCAAACTTGTGGTCCTTTCGATTCAGCCTCCCAGAGAGCTGCAATGACAGGCATGCGCTGCCCTGCTGGCTCCAACAGGCTTTTAAAAATCCTAACAATGAGTATCTCACCATCCCTTTTTCTATACCATCTTTACCCACAGAGAATACCTGGTATTTTTAAACCTCTCTCCCCATTTGGCAAACAGTGTGAGTGATCGATCTGAGGTGCTGCAGAGGTGAGGTCCACGGGGTTCACTGCCCACATGCACAGCCCACCCCAAGCTCCCAGGGTACAGACTCCCACCAACACTGAGGCACCAATTGGCCACAGGCCTCTCCCTGCCATGTTCTACCCAAGTGGGAGACGTGGAAGCAGCAGGGGACCAGGGCATTCATATGGACGCAGCTTGGTCCTGGGCTTCTGCCTGCACACACAGGCGAGGGTGGCAACGTTCTCCTCGTGGGCAGCCCGGAAAGCTCTGTTCTCTCTCATTTCCGTACAGCCCGAGTCCCCACAGTCCTGCCCATCACAGCATCCAGCTCTCAGCTCATGTGAGGCAGCAGAGAAGCCGCCACACAGCAGTCTGCAGCATGGGCAGAGACAGGGCCGGCTGGCCAGCGTTCTTCTGTGTGTTAAGACACTGCCCTAGAAAGCGCTGTAGTTCCTTTGCCTCTCTTATTTTTTTTTTTTTTTTAATGTGTAAACTTTTTTTTTTGGTACTGGGGATCGAACTCATGACCTCGCGTTTGCCAAGCAGGCACTTAGGCTGCTAAGCTAAACCCCCAGCTATTGCCTCTCTTCTTTTTTCCCCAACTATGTCCATCAATTTCTTCCCAAAATTATGTTCCACAGCACTGGCTTCTGGATGAGGTGGTAAAGAAATCCAAGTCTTTGGTGGCTCCATGGATAAGGATTAAGAAAAACCGACAGAGCCAGAGAGCAGCTACCCACTTGGCAGCAAGCTCAGGAACGCAGGCGAGCCCCTGTCCCCGTCCTGTTAACCTTGGAAATGACTGCACTGCAGGTCTCTGCAGCACTGCAGATCTCTTCATCATCCACAGCTCAGACACAAACCAGAATGTGCCCACTTCTCCTCTCAGCAGGAGAGTCCAAGGAGCACCCGGACATGCACGGCTTGGCTGGGGGAAGGTGGTGGTCGTGGATGTCACACTCTGGGCTGGGGTCAATAACACGCTTCCTGCAGAGGGGTGCTCATGCTCTGGGTAGCACTTCCCGCGCTCTGCTGACCCATAAGCACCTGGGCTTGGGCAGAGGGCGGCTTCTGACTCAGCAGGACCTCCCGAGCATGCCTGAAGAGGCTGCACCAGGACGGGCTACGCTGGCTGGGCGGAGGAGCAGAGGAACAGGAAGCTGCACACCCCTCAATCACTAAAGGTTTCATTATCCATCAACACGAGTCTTCGTCTTTGTTCGCAGAGTCACATATATAATGTGTAAACAACAGCCTCTGTGTGGTGCACATGTCCCACACCGGTGCTGGAGGAAATGCCTGGGAAAGAGCGCACACACGCCTGGCGCCCTAGTCCTCCAGCAGGAGCTCCAGCTCCTCCAGGGGCAGGCGCACGCGGAGCTCCTTCTCGGTCATCAGATCCAGGATCTCCTGCAGCTGGTCGGGAAAGTACTCCACAGCATCCAGGTACAACACCTAGCAGCAGAGAATACACCCCACAGTGAGGGAGAGGGACTCGGAGAAAAAGAGCAGGTCCCCGCGAGCCCGCCCTCTGCCACCCTCCACAGCCCACAGGCCCTTTCCTCTGGACTTTCCTCGCTCAGGCAGCACCGGGCACATTCAGGGAAGAAGCCAGACACAAAATAGAGGGAAAGCCAGTAAACACCAAGTGGGCCTTCTATTTCCACGGGGCCAGAAGTGTGGCCAGACACTGCAGCCACCACCAGTTTGATATCTGAATGTCTCCTGGGTCCCGAATCTTGGTACCTGAGCTAACTTGGGCAAATGTTAGGAAACCAGCTACTCACCACCCACCCCGCCATGAGCACCAGCCCCAGGATAAGAAAAGGGTACTAATGTCCACGAGGCTCCAACTCCATGGGAAAACTCCGCAATGTGCCTTGGGACAGGCTACTGCCATTCCCAGAGCTGATGTCCCCAGAACACTGGCTGAGCTGAGGCCTGGCGGGAAGGTCCTTGGGATCTGAAGATACCCGGGTCTTAGAGACTTACCTTTGCCCAAGGACAGTTCTGAAGTGCTTTGTAGAACACGCCTTTGCTTCTTTCTTTGTTTCCTAAGGAAACCTGAGATAAGAGGGGAAAAACAAAAACAATCCATTGAAGCCAAGGGACTAGGGCTATAAAAACACCATCCCTGATCTGTTCAGTGCTGTGAGCCACTGTGAGGGTGACCTGGCACCGTGGTAGCTGATGGGAATGGTGCCCAGAGAGCAGAGAATGTTTCCCTCTACAAATGGCCTTTGGGAGCTGACGGTTATCACTTCTGACCCTTAGAAGGAAGTCCTGCAACATCCTTTAGAAGTCCCTTTACTGGGAGCCACCTGGTGACACCAACAGTGCTTGGAATGCATCTGTCAAGTGATGAGGCTGATGACCTTGTATGAAAGAGAAAATACTTTTGTTTTAATATTTGCCAGGAAGAAGTCTGTGGGTGCCACCTGATATCCTCCCACAATATCCTATCTTGACAACCGAGACTCCCTGTAAAATTCCTGGCAGGGCTGAACCGTACATGCAGGAACCCCCTCTTTTCTGGGGTTCTCACTGCACTCCGTCACCCCACAGAACTGTGCCGAGGCACACCAGGAGTGTCTCCGCACAGAACTGAGGCACCCACAGCTGACGAGGGAGCAGAACTACGGACGCCAATCCCTGGCTCGGGCCACAACCATCTGCCGGCACTGACCAAGGGCTTCTGAGGACAAGCGGTCACCTTTGCGGCTCACAGGAGCCTGAGAGCCAAGCTCAGGAAGTGGCTATGGGAACAGTAAGACCGCCCTGGGAGGAGGGACACGAAACTGACAACCACCAGCGGACAAGCACAGCCAGCCTAGGCTGACCGTACTGAGGACCCTGCACCTTCACTTCGTTGACTTTGAGCCCTATGCTCCCTCTTGGTTACCTGCTTCAACCGACTTTAAAATTACTAATCTGGCAGGTGCTGAGGAGCACATTATTAATCCCCATCAGCTTTGCTGTAAATCACAAGCCTGACATACAGGTTATGATAATGGGTCTGTGGGTTCCTTTTTAAGGAAACTCAAACCACTGACTCGTCTTGGTCCTGCATAGGTGGTATGAACGGTTTTTGTTTTGGCACCAGGGATCCAACACGCAATCTTGTGCTTGCCAGGCAGGTGCTTGTGCCACTGACTACACCCCCAGCCTGATGTCAGAGAGTCAAAAACTCCACCATCAGATTGTGCTCCACCACCTTTTCCGCACATGCGCCCTGAAGGCCCAGGCAGTGTGATTACACAGATGCAGACCACTGATTACCTCCATCACTCCTCCGCAGGGCTTAGACCACTCTGCTTCTTTATCCCCTATGTGTCCCTAACCCTATCCTCAGGAAGGCGGAACTGAGATGTGGGCCTCCTGCCTGCACCTTCAGCCTCCTCTGCCGATGTGCTGTCCCAGGGTCAGTCTGGGATACTGCATGGCTGGCGGAATGGCCTGGCTTGGCCACATTATTACAGGTCCAGGGAGCCTCTGATCCAGCCACTGCCTGTACCCTGGAGGTGGGGAAGGGAGGTCCTACCCCAGGCTGCTTGGCCTTCACACTGAGCCCCAGGGCCCGAGAATTGCAAGAGCTGTGCTGCGCAGGGCACTAATGCATCTCCCGTCCCCACGCTGCACAGGGCCACGGTGCATGGCGTGGTGGCGGCTGTGGGCTGGCTTCAGCAATACACACAAGTGTTCGCATTGCTGTTTGAGTCTTCTCTGGTGCTTAGCAATCACTTGTTTTGGCATTTATGTGCCTTCCTGTCTGGTGTGTGTCGCTTCCAGATGAGGGAAGCAACATCTCTAAGATGAGGAGCTGAGGTCTTCAGGTTTTTGCAAAATCTGATTCTCTTTTCTTATCTCATTATGACCACATCTGAGCAACTACTGGCTCATGCAATCTTTAAAAACAATTAGACAAAACTCACATCCAGCTTCTTTAAATAAGAAAAGATAAAAATAAAATAAAAAATATACCTTCCTATAGGGAAAACTGACATTCTGAGAAGTTTTATTTTATTTTTTATGATACTGGAGATTGAACCAAGGCCTTCACACTGAGTTACATCCCTAGCCCTTTTCAGGTCTTTTTTTTTTTTTCTTTTGGTACTGGGGTTTGAACTCACAGCCTCGCACTTGCCAGGCAGGCATGTATGCCACTGAGCTAGATCCAGGCCCTTTAGGTTGTATTTTGAGACAGGATGTCACTGAGTCACTAAGAACTTGCAATCTTCCTTCCTCAGCCTCCCGGAGTGCCAGGACTACAGGCATGTGCGACCCCAAGAAGGCAGCTGAAGATTCTTATCCCTCCCTCCAGCCTTGAAGATGGTGGCTTTTCAACATGGCTAACCTCTGCCAGCTGTCCACAGGATGGGACAAGCAACTATACTGTGGGGATCAACCATGCAAAAAATGCCACTGCTTCCTTTTTTGAGAGTTCTTTGACCAATCCCCCCAAGTTAGCTAGCTTATCTACTTAAATCTCCTTCTTTCTTCTGTGTGTACATGACCTAAGAATCTCGAAAGCAAGTGCCACTTAGGCAAAACAAGAAAAAGGTCTACCTGAAAGCCAGGCATGGTGGTACAAGCCTGCAGTCTCAGCTACTCAGGGAGCTAAGGCAGGATGATTGCAAGTTCAAAGCCAGCCTACGGCAATCAGCAAGACAGTATCTTTTAAAAAAAAGTTTAGTGTGTTAACACATGTATTGGAAGGCCTCACCTAAAACCAAGGTTTTAATCTGCTAAAACCCAACTTTAGTGGAAATTTTAACTGGTTTCAGCCAATTCCTCTACCTGTATTTACCATGGCCAATGGTAAGTTTTAATTGCCTCAATCATTTCTCAGAAACAAAAGCCAGCACATGAGCAAGCGTGGTGCAAGCTGTGCCCCGCACACAGGAAGGTGCGGACGCAGGAGCAGAAAGGACCCTCCTCCAAGTCCGCTCCGCTCCCGGCCGAGGCCGCCTCTGCTCTCTCCTCCTCTCCTGGTACTTGCAGCCTACACCTTGCACTTGGCCCTATTCCGCTTTTCTCACTGAGCCCACCAGATGCCTCAGGCTCTACTAGACAAAGTCAAGGTGCTAATTAATCCTTAGTTCAACACCTTTTCAAAAAGACAGAAAATCCTTAAGGCCCAGATCCCCCCCTCCCCCCCAGTCAACAGCAGTTTTTTGTCTAGAATTCCCCCAAAGCTGGCTAAGTTATGGTCTTGGTAAAAACACTGCAAATCTTTACTTTACCCTATCTCTACCTATTAAGAACTGGGGAAGTTACACTGGCACATTTGCAAGCTTTCCCTTTTTAAATCTAAAGCTCTCATTTGCGGAGAAACACCGAGTGTCAGGGCTGGGGAAATCAGGGAGGGGATAAGACTAAAGCCCAGGCCTCCTGACCGTGCCGCACCTCACCGCCTCTGGAGCCCCACTCCAGCATGTGCGCCCTAAGCATCCACTTGACACAGGAGCCAAGTAAGACAGACCTGGGCTAAAAATGAAACGTGAAAGGAAAGCACAAACTTCACTTTGGATGTGAACTTTCTAGATGTGCTCATTTTTCCTGCATGTGCAATGAACCTCGCTTCTGTGTGCATCCCCCCATGTCCCCACACCTGTGCACGTCAGGGAGGCACAGCCAGATGCATTCGGGAACCCAAACTGCGAGCCAGGCAGAGGCCAGAGCTGTCCTCATTTCATTTACTCTCTGCACCTCCCTACTTCGGCTTTATTGTATGTCAAATGCAAATGTTTGGGGGCTGGGGATTTAGCTCTGCCTTGCAAGCAGGCAGTCGTGAGTTCGATCCCCGGTACCAATAAAAAGGAAAAAGACAAAAAAAAAAAAAAAAGCAAATGTTCAAAACCTACCATGTTTTGATAATTTACCTTATAGGAATAATTAGACATATTCAGTAAGATTTGCAAGTAAGAAAGGTGACACCTGGCTTCTGAAAGGCACGGCATTCACTGACAGTAACATTCATATGACTGGACTAAAACAAGGAAGACGCCTAGAAGACCAGGGTTTCCAAAAAAAGCGGAAGCAGATGTACAGTATTACTGTATTACAGTAGTGCCGTCCTTGCCAGGCCAGGCTTTCACGCAAGGCTAAGCCAAGTCACAGCCTGTTAAGTCAAAAACAGCATTTCAGCCTGCACACTTAACACTCACAGAACTACAGACAGGGCCTCACCGATACTCCATTGCCCCGGTGCTTTTCAGTGAACTTATATAAAGCTGCTCCTACTTGAAAAATCACACCCTGGGCTGAATCTTCTAATAACAAAACAGGATCACAATCAGTAAATTCCTGTGAGTAGAACAGCAAAGAACCTGGGTTTCGGCCCAGTGAAAGCTCTCAACCATCTTCCACGTTGTTGGCTTAATGAACTCCACAGGAGAAACCTGATGTTAAGCTCGACTGCACCCAACAGTCCCCTAATTATACTTCACGTTCATTCTACCAAGTATCTTGAGTAAATCGACAACCTGCAATGTCTTCCCAAGCCCTGAGAAACCTGGGGGGCCCAGGGTTCCTGTGAGGACTGCCCATGCCAAGAGCGTGTGAGGGTGGAATCAGGTCCTCCCAGCTTCCCAGGCACCAGCTAACTGGACACCTGCATTTCTCCCTTACGCAGGAAGAAACAGTTCTGTCAAAACAAAAACCGAAGGTCTAACATTGCTTACCAGGAAATTCAAATACATCCTCCATAGTAAGGGGCACTGGCTGCCACTGTCACTCCGCATTGCATTTTCAAACAGGGCTTTGATCCGATGTGTTAAGCCAGTCTCGGGGATGGTGGCATGGACCTCTCTGCCATCTACCCTGTAAAGCAAGGATGCACGTCACTCTCAGTCAGGGTCTCTCTCCTAACGTTACAGTGGCAAAGGATGCTTTCATGTCCACAAAGGTTAGCAACGACTGGATCAGAGTGTGTCAGGGAGTGTTGTCCTCCAGGTGTGATCGTGGTGGCATCAAGTACATCTGTGATGTGGCTTCTCCAAGCCCAGAAGGCAGCAGTGGCCTAGATTCTGAGTTTTACACACACTGAGTCTGTCTAGAAACCACACAAACTCTGCTTATCTGTTTTCTAAAGAAACCAATCTTAAAGTTTGAATGCAAATCTCTTCTCTGGGAAGGAAAGATTTTTCAATTTAAAGAAGACAAGAGAAGACTCACATGGAGTAAATAAAATCCCAGTGGAAGAAATAAAACACAAACAAAATGAAATGCTATTCAAAGGCAATTTCGCCTAATCTATAAAGACGGAGTGAAGCAACAGTAAAGACTCCAGGAGGAACAATGATGCCTCAGCTAGTACGTTCCCAAGACTACCATTTAACGTTCCGACGAAACCCAGGGGGAGAAAACACGGTACTGTTCTCACTGGCGACCCTGACCAGGTGGCAGTTACAGGCACTTCCCTCACCGATCCCTCAAAGCGACCTTCTAAGTAACTTCTTTAATTATCCCCCTTCACGAAGAGGAAACTGTTTGGGAAGTGATTTGTGTCAGGTCATTCGGTCGCCTGGGAATCAGAGAGGTGACCCCACAGCCTGTGTGTTCAACACTGCGTTTCCACCGCAGCCCCTCAGAGGCCGACAGCCAGCCAGCTGCAAACCCGAGCAGCATGCAAGCTCTTTGAAGCCCAGGCCCGGGAAGACAGGACCACAGCCTCTAATGAAAGAGGCTGCTGCTTTCTAAATATCTTGCTCTATCTAATACTCTACTCTACCACTGTACCTCTGGGAACACCACAGCAGGCATTCTGGGCCTGTGCCGTGCCCAGCTCTGCACTCCTAACACCTGTCAAAGGGGGCCAACACACCAAGCCCCCCATAAAGCTTTGTGAAACACGTGAAGGATCTTTACCTCTGAACAGTTTCCACCAGTCTTTTCCTCATTTTCTCAGCTTCAATTGCAAACAACCAAGGCTCCAAGGGTTTGGCAGACCTGGTGAGGGAATCAAAAAACCTTCTGGTCTTGCTAGCACTGTGGGACTTATTTTGAATCTGTACGTATGACCACCAAAGAACCTGGTTGCCTGGATACAGCTTTAAAGCCTCCGAGAGCGCCTCCCGCAGCGGACTCAGAGGATGAACACTAACTTTCATGTGGAATCTCAGCAGACTTGTGTGCATCAGGGTGACAGCTTCCAGAACACTGCTCCAACTCTGGGAGCTGGCACCGTCCTCCAGGCCAGGGCCTTCTGGGACAACGAAGCCCTTCAGTTTGATGAAAAGCTGCTCATATATCCGCACAGCAGCGTCAATCCCTACGGTCAAATACTGGAAGAGCATAAAGCATTTCACCAAGCTACTCAGGCAGTCCAAGGAGTCAGCAGCAGCCGCACCAGAGACACAGTTCTCACCCAGACAGTCCTGTAGTGCGTGCTCATAAGCCTTCCGAGCTTTCAGAACCTGAGTGCCCAAGACCTGCCCGGTGTAGGGGCCGTAGGAAGTGCTCTCGGTCAGCCTGGTCAGTATGTGAACAGCCCGGCCTGTGGCGGCCCCTCGCAAGTCCTGCAACAGCTCTACCTCCAGCTCAGCATAGAGCAGACTGAGTTCGCACAGCTCCCGGTCTTTCAGCTCACTGCTGCCTGCCATGCTGACCGCTGTATCAAAAACTTTTCTGGCATCCTCTATGTTGCCTAGCAACCACTCCAGATGTGCATACTGCTTCCAGAGACAAAAATTGTTGCGGTTTTCTGGCTCCTTAAGGAGATTCTTGGCTAGTTTTTTGCAGTTCTTCCCCTGGGACTTTAACCTCTTCTTGTTTTTAGTGTGTAGACACCATATAACCTACAGACAAAAGAAGAAGAATGATTCCAGGTGCTCTATAATTTTTAAGCAACCCTTTTTTACTTTTGCTTAAAAGGTACAAAGTCTTCTATGCTTCCTTGATCGTGTATTTGGTAAACACCAATGCTCTCTGAGCTGGGAAGGAAACCAGGATTTGATCTAGGCAACACTAACACGTCCAGGTTAAACCTATACTCAAGGCTGATACACTCCAAATGTTCTCCAAAGAAATGTGGCCACCACATTTTATCAGACACTTTTCACACAACCTGCAGCATGAAGCCCACAGTTAGCTTGAGAACTTTGAGTATTAAGAGTCAGTGCTAAATGTAGCCATCAGAGGGCAGAACAGGAGATGGAGACTGCATTTTTCAGCAGATAGCTATAAAGCACAGGATAAGTAAGTAGCTTATTTAATCTATCCTAATAAGCCTTTAAGTCCTCTAACCCTGCTTAAGCTTATGCCAGTTCTTAACACTAACTACCCATATCACACAGGCATCTGGGAAGACAAAACTGCACGCAGCAGACCGCACTGGCCACTGGGGGTGACCTGATGGGCTGTTGCTTTCCTCTTTCCCCCATGAGCCCTCCAAAGGGCAGCCACAGACAGTGGCCTTCAGGAGTCGCTGAAGGAGGCGGCACTGTGGCACAGACCCCGGAGGAGCAGTCGGAGCCCTGCAGGCCCCTTTGCAGCTGCTGTGAAACGAAAAGGCCCCAGACACGCAGAGCGAGGAAGCAGCTGCAGTTACCTTTGCAGTCTCATACCGTAACCAGGAGGAGCAGAGCTGAGACTTCTGCTTGCCTGAAAATACAGGCATCACAAGGTGGAAGATGTTGCGGATGAACTCCTCGCCCTCTCGACTGTGACCCCTGGACCAGCGAGGACAGCCCAACCGCTCCATGTGGCCGACACAGCTGACGCCAGAAAACGAAGGGCTGAAAAAAGTCAAGGGCTTTTCCTCATAGAGTCTGTTATCAAAGATGCTGTTCTCATCCATGGCCAGGTAAAGGCAGGCGGCTGGAGGGACGGCACCGGAGGGCACACCCAAAAACTGCAGAAAGGCCTCAATCAGCTGGAACCGCAGGTCTTCGCTGGCCAGTCTGATCAGGGATTGTCCAATGTCATCAAACAACACCTGCAACGAAGGCAAAGGACAGTGAGCTCCTTAAAAAACCCACAAAGCCTTCACGTTCTTTCACAGTTCTTTCTATATGGATGCACAGTGGTACCTTGGTTCACAAACTTGATTCTTCTCTTGATCCTGGTCACAAACCAAGTTCGATGAAAACTGAATCAAATCCAGTGGTTCAACACTGACCTTGCGGGGAAATCTGATTCAGTTCTCATCCAGTGCAGTTTGTGACCAGAATTGTGGAGAGAAATGAGTTCATGAACTGAGGTATCACTGTACTAATCATAAACATTATTCAAACTTAAAATTTTTAAGTGGGTAGAGCTAAGTTTTCTGCAAAACAAAGCCTCCCAAGACAACCCAGACAGCAGAGGACTCCCAGGAACCCTTGGACGTCAAAGGCACTTCCACACTCCACTGGGTACCGGAAAGGAGGGAAGAATCAATACATTAAAGCCAACTTTCAAGCCACCCGGCTGAAGTTATGAAAAAATCTACAACCATGTTCTCTTCGACAAGCACACATAATTGCTTTTATAGTTTGACAAATTATAACTGAAAATTTTTTTTGTCTTAGGATAGAAAATTAACTGTTAGAAAAAAAGAAAATTAAGTTTGTGGTTTCTTTGTACAATTTACTTCAGGAAATGAAAACAGCTCTAAGAAAGACAGGAAAGGTAAGAAGAAAACAGGAGCAAGGGCCGGGGATTTAGCTCAGCAGCATAAGCACCTGCCTGGCAAGCTCGGGGTTGTAAGTTCGATCCCTGGTACAAAAAAAAAAAAAAAAAGTAAAAACAACGGGAGCAATGGACCATGTTAAAAGCAATTTTAAAACCCTAACACTAACTGTGTGTGTTCACAGCCAATTTCATGTAACTGTTTTAGAAATCTAAGACCAAGGACACTACCTGCGTCTCAAGGGTTACGTATCCGTTCAGCCTCTACAGCTCTCAGCAGGAGGAAAGCAAAACTCAATACACACAGTAAGACTGAACTACCTGGGATTTGATGCATCAAATTAGTTCATCAGAAAGCTTTTCTCCTTTGGGCTTTGATTATAGAAAAATCTAAATGACAAGAAACTGCTCACGCAGCAGCTGGCTCCAGAAATCAGTTTTTAGAAGACAGGCAAAATTCTGAGGCTGAGAATATTCCAAAGGTTCACTTGAACTCAATAAAATAAATCCTCGAACACCAAAGAAAGAAAAAGAAAAAGAAAGAAAAAACAAAGATCCCATTGTCTTCTAAATATCCAGCCTCAGTGTGGAAAGGGGCCTCCTGAGCAGACTCCCCTCCTACAAAAGGCCAGTGTGAGGTGTCCCAGGAAGCCAGCCCTCCCTGCTGCCCAGAGAGCACGGCATCCCCTCCCGGTGTGTCCCATCCAGGCTGGCCACCCCACCCATCACCTCTCAAATGTTGCTGGTACTCTGAAGCTTCACATGCCAGCATCAAACAAATATTCCAGCGACATCCAAGACTTACCAAGAAGCCAGCACAGGAAAGACACTGTTCTAGGTACAGGTGACAAACCACAAGCTTGTAAGAGAAGCAAGATCCCTGCCTAGGCACCTCACGTGCAGAAAGGGTCACAGAGCCTCACTACTGAGAAAACCTTGAACATAAGACTAGGATATTGTGCAACTAGATCACTTCTAGGAATCAAAATAACACATCTCCCTATTTTGATTTAAAACCTTCTCAGTGACATAAACACCTGCTTGGTAAGCACAAGGTCCTGAGTTCGATCGCCAGTACCAAAAAAAAAAAAAATTTTTAAAAGCTCCAGAGCTGCTGGCCACTTGACAGAGTATTGTGGACAAAACCACGTAGTGACAGTAAACAAAACAACCTGAGACATGCCTGGCACTAGGCAGGAGTCTGTCCACACTGGCTTCTTAAGCGAGCCCAGCTACGGCCACACTGTCCCCACCAGTTTGACTTCATCTTCCAGAGTCGAACCTGGCTGCTACATCTCCACATATCCAACAGGCGGGTGGACAGTGAACACAATTAAGGAATCTAGGGCAGTGACCTGGGTTTTTAGAAGCTGGGGCCACAGAGTTCTAAATGAAAAATTAACTCGATGACCAGCAAGGCAGTCTCTGGAAGGTGACCACAGGAACACCTGGTCAAGTCCCCATATTGGGCAGGAGAAAAGTTTCCCCAGACCTGGACAAAAACAGGTGAGCATCTCCTACATCAGCCAAGTGCTGGGGAGCCCAGCAACCTTCTTTCAGATACCAGACAAAAAAGAGAAAGAGGAGGGGAAAGACCCTGCAGGCAGCTCCCTCCCAGTGGCAGAGGGCACACACCTGTCTCTCGGGATCCTCACAGTCTTCTTCGGTTTGCTTCTTCGTCTTATCAGGGCGCCAGGGCCTCCAGTGCCTCTGGTCTCGGGAACGCTCAGCAGCAAGCCAGATCTGCCACCTGGGCAGAGTTTTGTCTCTTATCTCCTGTTCGTCCTCTTCTGGTTCATCCTCATCCTCATCTACACAAGAATGAAATTTCTAGTTCACCTAAGCAGTACGTAAAACCACCATGACTATTTAATCAGCCCACTGTACCTGGTATGGGCACCTGGCCTGCCCAGAGGGCTCAGGGGCAGGACAGCCTGCCAGGCACTCGATGGCGTTGAAAGTGAAGGACGTTCCTGCAAGCAGGTAAGGTCCCAGGAGAACAAGCAGGTAAGGGGGTAGAGCCAGATAACTCTTAATGCAAAAATGGTAGTGACACATATTCTAGAAAAGCACTGTCCCACAGCACTTTCTATAATGATGGAAATATTCCTTATCCACACTAATACAGTAGCCACCAGCTACATGTGGCATAAAATGTAACCAATGAAGGAACTAAATTCTTAATTTTACTTAACTATAAAGGGCCACATGTAACCAAACATTACTGCTTTGAACCACAAAGTTCTAGGATGTTAAATAGCATTTAATGACTATATTGGTTTAGATTTCCTTAACCCATAAGAATTCTTAGTCAATTAAAAAATAAACTTATAGTAAGTTATCACCTATTATTGTAAATTGACAGAAAAAAATCAACTCAGGATCTCCAATAATATTTCACCTTGTGTCTCAACTGTACATGCAGAATACAAAAGGAAAAGTCTTGGTTGCTGCAAAGTTCAATACTGGAAAATAAACAGGGTATACAAAATGGCACAGCCACACAGGAACAAGTCTGGCAGGTTCTCATAAATAACTAAACATTCATTTAACCAGAACTATGCTCTGGGACACTGAGCACAGAAAAATCGAAATTTATGTTTACCCCAAAATATATATACTAATGTTTATGGCAGCTTTGTTCATAATAGCCCAAATGTCCTACAATAGATGATTAAATAACTGCGACACAGCTGTACAATGGACTAAAAATGAACAAATTATTACTACACGCAACGATTGTTTTACGTCTCTCAAGAACCTTGTGCTAAGTGAAATCCAAAAGGTACAGAGGATGAGAGTGTGGCTGAGGACGTGGAGGAGCTGGAACCTTGCGCACTGCTGCGAGGAGAGTAACACGTATCACCTCTGTAAGTCACCGTGGCCACTGCAGAAAGCTACACACAGTTCCCTCAGCAGTGGGCGGTTCTACTTCTCAGTCTGGGGTTACAGGTCTGGCGCTACTATGCCCAGGTCCGTTTTACCTTTTTAAATGTGGCTACGAGATCTGAAGTCACATATGTAACTCGTACTGCATTCCAAGCGGCTAGCCCTGTGTCAGAGTGTAGATCTAGAGGGTACCTTGGGGTCGTGTGGAATGGCAGTTATATAAATGCTTAGTTAGTAATTATTTTGTAGTATCCCTAAAAAACAAATATTTTTCAAAGGCTCTGTTGGTACACATTGTGAGAAGAACAAAAAGACTGTCTTAAAAAATGTATAATAAAAGGAATGCGAGGTAGGGAGGTTGGCAACAATCTGGCTTCTTCAGGGACTGAGGGGTTAGCTCAGCGGCATAAGCGCCTGCCTTGAAAGCAGGCAGTCGTGAGTTCGATCCCTGGTACCGATAAAAAAGAAAAAGACCAAAAAAAATAAAAATAAAAAAAAAATCTGGCTTCTTCAGAAGTAATTTACAGAAGAAAGAAATGCCTTCCTCTGGAAACTCAAATCTTCAGAGCCCTATGTACCCAACAAATGGGACACTGAGTGCTTTGAAGTCTCCAAAGAGAAGAAATGTCCTACTTAATGTTTTTCTAAAACATTTTGATGTCTGTACAATGTTCTTAAGTGACTGACAAACGGCATATGAAGATAATCATATTGATGTAACGACAAATTCAAGACGAGAAAGGCAGACCCGTCCTCACCGGGAGGAGCCTCACCTGGGTTGATGACCACCCAGCCGCCCCGCTCCTGCTGGTGCATCCACGCCCGCCAGCCCCGGGCGCCCTTCTCCCCAGGCCGCGGCTCTCCGCTATCCCAGAAGGGCTCAAAGAATTCCACCTGTTGGGTTTGGAAAACAGAAGTTAGACCTCCTCTGTACAAACTGAGGGGTCATGGGGCAAATGAAGTGCTGGGAGACAGAGGGGATCATGGGTCACCTAAAATCATGTTTGCCACCAGTGTTTAAAGTCAACTTACAATACAGACCCCAAAATAGAGAGTCATCTGTACTGGTAGGTTGCCCCCAAGACAGCTCTCAGCACCCCACCCCACCCCCCGCCTTGGTACACATGCTCTTAAGTGTGGCTTGGACCTAGTGACATCTGACAAATCAAATACGGACCAAGTGACAGGTGCCACTTTCAAGAGTAGGTTACAAAAAGACTGGCCGAGGCCTGGTTCCAAGGGCCCGCAGCTGGGGCAGAAAGGGGCAGTTTCCACTTCTGACCCTCCGGGGCAGTCTAGCCAGGGACAGCAGCATTGCCATTTCCTCTAAGGCCACTGGATTCCCTCATCAATATCTGAGCTCGTGGTGCTTTCAAAACCTTTTCAGAAAAACTGAAAATTCCAGGGGGACAGACCATGTGCTACCAAGGGGAGGAACACATCCTAGGTAGCCGTCTATTCCTAACACCTGGCCACGTGGCACAGTGCTCACAACAGAGCAGGGACTCAGTAAGTGCTGGCAGGCACAGAGGTGCAGAGGGAGGCCTCTGGCCAGGAGGCAAACGGTCTGCATTTTAAAGCCCAGCCCTGTGAGTCCTGAAGACTCTCACCCAGTGAGCCTCAATGTGTGGGAAGCAATTGGCTACGGTAAACAGGTCCCTGCAGAACAGAACGCGAAAGCAGCACTGAACGGGAGTGTGAGCTTATGATCCACGGGTGGCAGGACTTGAAAAATAAGCAACAGGGCTGGGGACGCAGCTCAGTGGCACAGGATCTGTCTGGCAAGCACGAGGTTGTGAGTTCAGTTTCTGGTACCAAAATAAATAAATAAAATGAAAGCGAGCAACAACCTACCCTCATTAAAACTTTTATACGAAGCCTTTTAAAGGGGACAAGCAGGCTTCCAGGAGGCAGAGTCACAGGATCATGTCACCTGAGGCTGGACAGTGCCACACACGTGTTGATGTGGGAATGTGTCAGTCACCCCCAGAAGGGGAACTGAAGTGGGGGAAGATTATAGTCCATCTTCACAGGTTTGCTCTTGTAATGAGTGATGGAAGAAAATGAATCAAGACTTTTTTTTGGTTTTGGTGTTTTTTTTCGGGGTGGGGGGGATGGATTTTGAGACAGTCTTCTGTGTTATAGTTAAGACTGGTCTTGAATTCACTAGGCAGCCCAGACTGGCCTCAAACTCACAGTGATCCTCCTGCCTCAGCCCCTCTCAAGAGCTGGGATTTACAGACATGTACCACTATACCCAGTGACAAGAAGGGTTGGAGGGCTTTGGGATTTTTATTTCCCCCAGGGATACAGCTCAGTGGCATAGAATCTGCCTGGCAAGTGCAAGGTCCTGAGTTCAATTCCCAGTACAAAAAAACAGAAGAAAAAAGTTCTGTTTCTTTTCTTCTTTTTGTCTTTTTGAGACAGGATTTCATTATGCAGTTCAGACTGGCCTTAACTTAGTTTGAAGCCCAGGCTGGCCTTGAACTCACAGTAACGCTCCTGCCTGAGCCTCCCAAACCCTGGGATTACAGGCGTGTGCCACTGCGCCGAGCCAAGAAGAAGGATTTTTTAAAAACAGTGTGGCAAATGTTAACAATCAATTAATTTATTCAAAGAAACAGACCGGTGATCTCAGACTGCCTGTTTTATGTTATGCTACTGTGTTTATGGTAACAGTGTCACTGGGGAACAGAAGCAATCGGTGTAAACACTGCTCAGTGAGAACGCTCACTCCCAGTCATCATGTAAGCGCTGTGGAACACACATGCCGTGTTTCCGCACCTCAGATCAGGGTCCTCAGTGCCTCACAGCCACGGCGGTGGCCTCCCACGCATCAGTGACCATACCCATCCCACACAAGGAGTCTCAGCAGACCAAGGGGCGAGACAGGGCTTGACTCTCAGTGTCCTCAGAATCAGTTAAGATCACTTCTGGGTAGATATGGTGACACACACCTGTAATCCTAGCACCTGGGAGGCTGGAGCAGGAGGATCACCGTGAGTCTGAGCCAGTCTGGGCTACATAGTGAGTTGAACAACAGCCTAGACTACATAGCAACACCCTGTCTCAAAAAAACCGAAATAAAAAAAAAATCACTTTTGAAGCACAGCATATTCTTAAAATACCAAAACATTTCTTAAAACTACTTCTCTGGCTTATTAATAATCAGCTAACCAATATCAACTGCAGTGATTCTTTAACCTCACTTTGTCTAGAAGCAGCATCATGATGAAAACGGGCTCTACTGGCCATTCAGGACAGTTCTACCTGCGTGAAGCTCAGCCTTGCAGGGAGACTCTGGCACGGTGGCCGTAAAGTCAGATGCTCTATTCATATTCCCTGACTCTCTTTACAGGACAGAAAACTGAGTTTTCTTTGGTATAAAAGGGAAGAAATAGATTTTCACATATGTATAGCTCTGTGGCAAGATGCTTTTATTGCTTCATGTAACAAACACTGACAAAGCTTGTCATTAAAGGTCAAATCCTCCTCAGTGAGGTCTGGTGTGGACTGTGACTTCCTTTGCAGCTCTAGCAAAGACTGAGGCAGAGCTGAGGTTCGTTAGGGGAGCAACACAAGACCCAGACGAGCAGGCACAGAAGTGGAGACGGTGACTCGGGCTTACAAGTGAGACGGCTGCTCCTGACTGGTGGGGCACCCTGCATTTGACAGGGTAGTCGGGCACGCTGTGCTCACCTGCACCCCAGCACTCTGGGAGGCCGAGGCAAGAGTATCACAAATTTGAGCCCAGCTTCGGCAATTTAACAGACTTAGTGATACCCTCTGTCAAAATGAAAAATAACAAAAGGGCCGGAGGGGCAGCAAAGGCCCGGGGTTCAATCCTCAGTACTAAAATACAGCAAAAAAATGGGAGTCATACACAAGGAAAAACCGTATCAGTGAATCTCGATTTGGGGGGAAGGAAGGAAGCTCCTTTTATTGACCCACAGTTCACCACTTTCAGTATGGAATTTTCCTTGGGTCACTAGAATACTTCTGAGAGAGAGCGCGCGGCGGGTCATGCAAGCAGAACTCAGTACCTGTACTTTGGTAGGAAGATCTTTCACGCTGTCAGGTTTGAAGAAGGTAAAATCAATCATGGCCTGGAACAAAGAGACGGCCTTCTCCGAGTGGCCGGCCTGCCGCAGAAAATGGCACTGCTGAAGAAAGAGTGCTACCACAGGAGGGCAAAGAGAAGGGTCCCTGGTTAATACCACCGACGGGAGGTGTGCAGTGAAACACCAAGAGTTTCTTTTGCTAGAAATACTGCTGCAGTTTCAAAGCCGTAACACACGTCCTGATTTTAAAGGGGGAACGGTGGTACTGTGATTCGAATATAGTTTTGCTGTTATATTAAACCACCACAGAACACAAATATATTAACAGTGAAGAACACATGCTACCTAAAAATAAGTCCAACGGCTGATAGGAACTTGTTGTCAAATACTCAATGCTCACGATCACAGGAAAACTAGGGAGAGGAAGAAGGCCTGGATTTTTCTCAGCCAGCAAACCTCCGCTCACTTGACTGGACACTAGATGGCAGTATTCACCAGCAAAGTGCACTTTATGTTCCAGGATGGCTGTGAACAATTCTAAGTTCCAGGTTTGAAAATTTCCATTCATCTTCATTGGATAACTCCACTTAGTAAATAATACAAAGCCATTTAAGCACATCACAAACAATGCCAAACATAAGGTTTACAAAGACATCCCATGCTACTCATTTTTATTTACTTTTTTTTAATTTGGTGCCGAGGATTAAACCCAGGGCTTTGTGCAAGCAAAGCATGTGTTCTATCACTAACTATACCTCCAGCCCCAAATGTCAGGCTTTGTGCTGGTATGGGAAGTTCTTATACTTCTAGAGCAACCTATTTACACTTTAGGTACTAACAGAAATACTCAATTTCAAACAAAAGCCTGCCACAGGCTGCACACTGAGCTGACCTCACCATGTACCATCTCGTTTAAGGCCGTGCATGACAGCCCTACAAAGCAGGAATTTCACCACTGTTCCTGTGGGAGAAATGCAGCTCACACAGCTCAGGAATCTGCCTGAGGTCACCACAGTTAATGAGACTCAGGCTGAAGACTGACACAGTCCTATTCTAGGCTTCTCTGGGATACACCAAAAACATGAACAGCAAATAACACAAACAGTTTATATCCACGTAGTCAGTACAGCATCACACGAGCGTTAGTGCCGGAGACCCTGGAACTGAGGTCTCCACAGGTAAAACCACTAACAGCCAAAAATCTGACTTGCTTCACAAGTAGGAAAGTTGGAGCTTCCTGTCTAATGTATTTTCCTAGCTCTGTTGGCTCTGATCCCACAGCTACTTGCCCATCCTTAGAGCTGGGAGGTGGAGGTGGGGTGGTGATTTGTTGTAACTAACTGGAGTTACAGCATTTATTAAAAAGTCAGTTCTGACAATTTATACTCTTAAAATAAGTAAAATCTTCAGCCAGGCAAGATGGCACATGCCTGTAATCCCAGCCCTCAGGAGGCTGAGACAGGAGGACGGCTGAGAATTTCAGCCCTGGGCTACATAGCAAGTTCAAAGCCAACCTGAACTACATGGCAAGACCCTGTCTCAAAAAACAAACAAACAACAACAACAAAAAAATGTTCATTTTCAACTAAAGTCGAATGATAGAAGGTGTGACTCTTCCCACACAACTCTCCGCTTTCCCGCTTACCAAACATGGCCTCTTCTGTGCCGGGCAAGGCAGGGTGCGACAGGATGCTGCCGTCCCTCACCGCAGACAGCGTGCTCAAGCACTTTCCATAAAGGGCGTGGATCTTCGAAATGGAGAAGGTGCTAAACTGGCTCTGGCAAAACAAAAGGTACTTCTGCCACAGGACGGTGTTGTTGGGATGCAGAAAGATCAGCTTCTGCCACTCCTTGACCAGCATGGGAGGCTCCCAGAACTCGGCGCACAGCTTCAGCTTGGCCAGCTTCAGCTCCACGCTGCTCGGGTTACTCTCCACGGCCCGCTCCAGGATGGCCAGCTTCTTCTCCAGGACGAGCTTCAGGGACTTCTTCCGCTTCTCCTGCTCTCCCTCCTCCATGGCGTACAGGCCGGGGCTCTTCATGACCTCGTCCTCCGCAACGGAAACAAAGACTTACTATAGCAAATGCGAGGGGGAGCCTCAGAGGTCAACGGCGCTGACAGCCCTGGTGGGGTTCCCACCTCCCACCTGAGTAGCACCTCAAACTGCTACTCAGACTTTGTTGATGGCCGCTTGTTTATCTGTTTCTTTTCAGGAGAAGTTGGTACCCAGGGTTCCTATGGCCTTACTCCACCCAACAGACTGTCTACTGTCATTGTTAACTTAGATTTATGTTCAATGCCTTAGAAACCTTTTTCTTAAGAGCCAACCTTATCAACAACACAGACAAACGTGCAGCACAGTCTGACACGTGCAGGAAGGGTTCAAAGGCAGAGAAAGGCTCCTTTGGGAAGCTCCGATGACCTGCGTGCTCAGTAACTCCCCGCGCAGCCTGTCTCTCCCACAGCCCTGACTCTGCCTGTGAGGTCTGCGCCCCAGGACCACCTCTCCCCACCTGCTGAGCACTGTCTCCCCTCTAGAGCCTGTTTCTGTGCTGCAAAGGTAGCTCAGCGGCAGGGTGCTTGCCCAGTATGAAGCTGGGCTGGGTCTCCAGGACCACAAGAGAAAAAAAAGCATGGAGAACGGAGTCTTATTCTAGTGTCCCCTCCCCTTGGCAGCCTTTCTTCCTCCCTCATGACAGGTCACCACGTTCTCAAGCAGCATGAGCACATTCTCGACCCCAGGGTGCATTCTTCCTCACTGGACTCCGAGCACGCTGGGGGCTATAACTACATTCCAATCCCCTTTATGTGCCCGGTGCCAGGGTGTGCCCAAAATCAGGGAAGTCACCCCATGGCAAGAGAACCAGGACAGCGACACTTACCTGAAAAGCCACAAATGCCATCCACAGCTGAATATCCCGAGGATTCTCCCGAACCTTCCTGTTAAACTCCTCCACCTTGGCCTTGAGAACAGCGCTCTCTCTGTCTGCCTGGGAATCTGGCTGCTTTGATTCTGGCTCTGAAGGACCCTGTCCTTGTAACCACTGTGTGGTTGACTGATCATAAATGCCCAGCGGATTCAACCAGCTGGTTACAGGAGCAGCGACATCTTCTGAGTCCTTCACCGGGATAAACGAGACTGGCTCCGAGGAAGGAGGCTCTGTTTTACTGGTAACAGCGATGCCATCAATGTTCATTAATCCCACACTCTTCTTCGTAAAATAGCGTTCAGTGTGCTTGCGTGGCTGCTTCTTGGCCGTGGAAACCCCTTCCCAAGACACACACTGCTTCTTAGGGTTAATGCCCAGGCAGGAGTCTCCTTTCCTTTTATATCTAACATTAGAAAAGAAAAACAGTTACTGCCTACCAGTGACTGGGCACTCACCACACTCACTGCTTATACACAAATTTACCCTGCTGTCCAGCTGTCCCTATTTAGAACCACATTCGAATTAGAATGAGCTTTCTTCTGCGGGGCTTGACTTCTTCCTGTAACACTTTAACCTTTTATTAACATCTCCCTGAATTTAAATAATGCCTGGCTTCTGCATCTTAGAAACTTGTATTTTTCTGGAGCTCTGATCACCACAGTCATCTGTGACAGGCAAGGCAGAAATCGCCGCCCCTTCTTTCATACAGGTCCTAAATAAGCACACAGACCTGGAACCTGGGTCCCATTTTCTCAATACTGTCTTGCATACCTACTTAAGAGTATATCTAAGATTTTTTTTATGCCTGAAACAAAGTATGTCAAATGAACTTACAGTGGTGGTTTTCTACTCTAGAGGAAAGAGGATGGATTCTAAATTGCTTTCATGGATATACAGATGTTCCCAGAGACACCAACAGATGACTACTGAATACTTGCACAGGCGAAAGATAAAGAAAACTGTTCACTTTTCTGTCTGTATGATAGCAAAGAACCCAGTTAAAAACTGAAAGATAGAACCTGAAGTTTCACACAAGAAGACACAAATGGCCAAGAGGTGCAAGAAACACCCTCCATGATCAAGGGAGTGCCCATTAACACCACGAGACAGACATAGTACACACCCCAGGAACAGCAGTAAGTGACCACAGTTCTCATATGCTGCTGGTAGGAACATCAAGTGGTGTGATCACTTTGGGGAAACGTTTGGCGGTTTCTTAAAATACTCTAAACACAGACCCACCCTGTGACCCAGCAAGTCTACACCTAGGTATTGACCCAAGAAAAGGAAACTGTATGGATACACAAGGACTTGTGTATACTAATGTTCTCAGTAGCTTTATTCTTAACAGCCAAATATGGAAAGGGTCCAGGTGTCCATCAACAGAAGAATGGGTAAACAGGGGTACAGCCATACAATGGAATACTCCTACCAGTAAAAATGAATACAGGTTCAAACTCCATGCAATGAATGTTATCACTATATATATCTAAAACATACCAGTAAAATAAAAAAAAAAAAAACAGGAAATAAAGGAACCAACTGCTAATAAATGTCAATGGATAAATCTCAAAAACACTGTACTAAGGGAACTCAAATACAAAAGACCGTGTTGTATGATTCCATGCATATGAAATTCTAACCTGGCAAAACTGATCAACAGTAGGAAAAAATTAGAATGGTCACTGCCCTTGGGAAGTGCGGGTGGGGACCAACTGGAAAGGAGCGTGAGGGGAGATGCGGGGGGCAGGATCACAGTAACAGTGCATATTGTCATAGAGGCCTGGGCTACCCGGAAGTATCTGTCAATGCCCAAAATCGCCAGGCCACACTCTCGGATGTCCCAGCCTAACCTTCAGCCAAATACGCTTCTTTATAAATTACCCCTTCTCAGGTATTTCAATATAGCAACAGGAAACCGAACAAACAAACCTTTTCTCTATCACACTCAGTTCCTCCCAGATCTTTCTCTTTTGCCCTGAGAATCAAAAACCACTAAAGCCGGGGCTAACGTGGTACAATGTATGCTTACCAAGCACGAGGCATCGCCAGCACCACAAATGAACCAACACACAAACGTAAGGAAGGTGTGACGGGAGACCACAGAGAGCACCAGGCCGCTCTAAACAAGCCTGTCACTCCCTAAGGAGCAAATTATATGTAAAAAAGCTAATTCTGTCCCATTACAACTATTTCAATAGTACTGATTCCTCATCAGTTAAAAACATGCAGTATCTGATTCATACAATTTATTAAAAATGTTTACTTGGCTCTTCTGACTTTTCAAATAATAGCTGCGTTTTGTGCAGCAAATTAAAAATGCTGAGAAGAGAAGAAAGAATCTTTCTGGTTTATCTAACCTCCTTTCACATATGTTTCTGCTTATGTATTTACACACATCCTTTTCAAAACAAGTGGACAGCACATAGTTTCAAGCTTTCCTCCCTACTTTTAAGCATTTCTCCATATCACTACCCTTAGAAAAATGTGGTTTTAATTAGCTTCAAACTCTACTGTTCTATTGTATGGATTACAATTATTTAACTATTTTACTATTGTTGAACATTTCAACTGTATATCATAGAACCTTAATACAGGTCCAGACCATAACAATGCAATATTCCCCCAAATGAAGGAGCTTTTCCTATAAAAATCCTCATCAAATAATCTGCTAGACGTCACTTGAATCATTTCAGAGGTAGAAACTCTTATTTCAAAGGTTCAATAAATGATATTTTATATACATTTAATTTAAATGAATGCAATTATAAACAATAAAATGGAGAGAAAATAATTATCTCTAAAAGGAGCACACAGCTGTGCCCTGAATGCACTCAGTGGGCCTGGCTCTGGAGTGAGCTGAGCTGGGCAAAATACATTTGCTTTTCCTTAGTGGCTTCCACTCTCACATACTCCTCATAGTGTCACACTACCTGTGTCCAAATTCCAACGCTACCAATGACTGGCTGAACGAACATGACCAAGTTATTAAAACCTGTGTCTATCAGTCAGCTTCTCATTACTATAACAAAATACCTGAGGCAAGTTACCTTACAGAGAAAGGTTGGTTTGCCTCATAGTTTAGGAGACCAGAAGTCCAAGGAGCATAATGCAAGCACTGTTGAGGGTCCCTTTTACTACATCACATCATGGCATCAGTACATGTATACCTCTGTGCCCATCTGGTCTCTTGGCCTCTCCTTACAAAGCCACAAGGATTCAACCATGGGGCTAAATCCAAATGACAAAATCTAATCCAACCATTTCCTAAAGGTTTCACTCTAACCACCAAGGTTAGATTTTCACCCCCTGACTACCTTCAAAATAAGACTTTGGGGATTAAACTGCATATATGCAGAGGCACAAACCACATTCAAATCACAGTGGCTTCTGCCTATAAATCAGCTACTCAGAAGGCTGAGGCAAGAGTATCACAAGTTTAGATCAGTCTGAGAAACTCCGTGAGATTTGCTCTCAAAATACAGTAAGAAAAAGGCTGGGCTTGCAGTTCAGTGGTAGCATGCAAAGCCTGTGGGTTCATTCCTCAGCACTATAAAAACAAAAAAATGAAACAAAAGCACCATCTGTGCCTCAGTTTCCCCATATATCAAATGGATTCCGAATAATAACAGCACCTGTGCCACAGAATTACTGGAGTGGTCAAAAAATGAACAAATATAAAACCCTTGGGAGATTATCTGCCACATAGCAAAGGCAAGATAATTGAACTGTTATTAGCACCTTATAAAACTTTGCTCCTCAACATATACCAATTATTTTATCTGCTGGATAGCCAAAGAAACAATCTATTCAAAAATGGAGAGTAAAACTGACTGAGCTGAACTGCACTGAAAGTCAGTATTTTACTGCTGATGGTTTTCCAAAGGTAATGACTGCGTCGTTTCCATGTGACACTCTAACTACAGAACCAAAGCTCTGTTTCCCGTAATACTCCACACGTGCCGTGTCACTGCTGGATACACACACGCTTCCCCTAAACCTGGCTTTCTGCAACTTCCACTCAGTCTCGGTTCTGCCTCCCTGAGCCGCGCAGAACACTGTGTGTCCATCTTCCAGAGGTCAGCTCAGCAAAGCTTAAGCAACCAGCCGGAGCGGTGGTGCTTGCCTAGAATCCCAGCACTTAGAAGGCAGAGGCAGGAGGACTGCTGCAAGTACAAGGTCAGCCTAAGCTACATAGCAAGGGCCCGCCTCAAAAAACAAAATAAAACAAATTTTTTTTAAACACTGAAACCACCATTATCAATCATGTACCTCCAAGAGCCAAATATTCACTACCGCTCATCTAGTTCTCACAGGATGGAGCAAGTCTCATCGTGAGTAACTTCTTACAATCTTCTCAAGGCCCTCAGACTCTCTCTGTCCTCTCAAGTGTGAACACTCAGTACCTCACAGAGACTCCACTGTCCACTGGCCAGCTCAGAGTGCTGTGTGACCACACATTCCAAACCTGGGTGCTAACACTTACGCAGCCACTGATGCAGGCAGGACTGCCCTGCTGAAACTTAACTGAGTTATGAGAAAATCAGCAATGCCCCACGTCTTTTAATAGTGCTTTCTTTGCACTTTAGACTAATAAAGTTGTGCCCAATTACTCTCTGCGTAAGAACTGTGCCTTTCATTAGCAGAACCTCGAGAGCCACTCTTGTTAATGTTTTCTCCTTTTTTCATCTATTAATAAATAATAACCCTTTAAAACTGCATACAAAGTTCCAACTCTATATCAAATATTAATAATATCTGAGTGTAAGGCAGGACAGGAATTCTAATTCCAAATTTACAAATTAAAAACAAGCTCACAGATAGATGACTTGCCTGGATTATACAACTAGTAAATGGCAGGCAGAATGACAGAGTGGGTCCTCTGATTCCAACTCCACAAAGCATCCTACCACAAACCTGACTCCTTCCTATTTGTGGTTCAAATCCCAAGCGTGCTGCTCCCCGGTTGCCTGGCCTCAAGCAGTTACTTAATCTCCCTGAGATTCCTCTTCCTCCCCAAGGAGCCTCTGTGGGCATCCACAGGCTGACACAGTGAAAGGAGCCGAGAACCACAGCACGCACCTCCCGCCAGAGCACGACTGCTGACCTCCCATGGAGGGGGGATCCAGACCTATGGCACTGCTCTGTCGTGGCATGAAAACCATGAGTGCAGGTGCGCCGAAACAACCCAAACAGCAGCTGGGCATGGTGGCACATACCTGTAATCCCAGCATTCTAAGCGGCTGACAGGAGGATCGTAAGTTTGAGCCCAGCATGGGTAACTAAAAGTATGTCTCAAAATAAAAAATAAAAGCGCTGGGAATTAGCTCAGTAAAAGGCCCTGCGTTCAGGACCCAGTACAAACAAACAAAAAATGCATATGCTTTAAACATAATAATCAGGGCTGGGGATTTAGCTCAGTGGCATAAGCACCTGTCTTACAAGCAGGTATAATGTCAGGATGAGTGAAACATGCTCAAAATTTGGAAATGCAGTAAGGTATTAGAAAATGAAATTTATTTTAAAGTGTAATTGTCCTACATAGAATATCCTTCCAAGATTTCTTCTTAATGTTATATCCTATGGTTCTCTAGCTTTGATTTTCATTACCTATAAACTTATCAATAGTAAAGACTGTATTGCTCTTTACATTCCCAAATTTCCTACAAATTACTAAATGTCTAAAGGGTTTTAGTAAGTATTCAAGGATCTGTTGTTTTTGAGACAGGGTCTCACTAAGTTGCCCGGGCTGGCCCTGAACTCACAATCCTCCCCATTCTGCCTCCCAAGTAACTGGGATTACATGCATAAGCCACTGCGCCTGGCTTATGCAAATATTATTTTTCATTTGACAGTTTACAGGGGAAAAGTCCAAAATCATTACAACAAATACCTACTACAGTAAATAATACCACCCATTTTTATGATCATCTGGTGTTACACACTAGAAGTAATTTGAAAAAAAGTCATTTCTATAAAATGTCATTTTCTGGGCCAAAAAAATAGCTCAGCAGCACAGTGCCTGCAGTTGGCAAGCACAAGTTCCTGAGTTCAATTCCTAGTACCCCACTCCCCAAAAAGTCATTTTCTGAAATGGCACGTGTAGGGGATGAATAAAGGGCTTTTGCTACTTTTTAAAGTGAACACAGATTAGAACAAATTGCTTCTGGATACTCATCACAATTAACTGCTGGAATTTGCAGTCACAGTACTACTGTAAAAATACTGTATTTTTAGATTCATTTATCCAACAAACATTTATTAAATACCTATTACAGCAGCCACTATGCTAAGGACTGAGGATAAATTAAGAATAATCTGAACTGACCTCAAGGATTACATTTTCAATTCAGAATGTGAGATGAAATATGTCCCTTTAACAACTTAACAATGCTAAGACCCAAAAGAATCTATGAAAGAGAAATAAAGGGGTAAACAGACAATGCTCAGAAAGTTCAGAGGAGAAACGTGTTTTACTTCCCACAGCAGCAGTCAGGGGAAGGTGTTACGGGTACCTTGCTATGTCCCCTCTGTAAAGAGACTTATACTCCCAGTTCGCGGGATCTGGTTTCTTATCTGTCCTAAAGAGCTCTCCTGTCACAGTCTGGATGTCCTCAAGCCAAATAGAGTGATGTCCAGCATCAGCGGCAGCATTACTTCCTTGACTGTGAGACAAAGGAAAAGGAAAAGACAGTTCAGAAGTCTTCCAGTGATGTATTAGGCATTATCCTAAATAAGAAAGCTCATCTTTTCAAACCGCACATACAGCATCAAAAACACAAAAGTACATACAACTGCACATGTCATAGAGATGAGGGGAAGATTCTTATTCAGGGAAAAGTTTTAAAAATAAAGCAAAACTAAATGACATTAACAAGAAAGTCTCAGAAATTAAGCTGAGGTATTACTGGAGTGGGGCCGGAGATACAGCTCGGCAGCACAGCGCCTGCCTGGCAACTACCAGAGTTTCAGGACAAAACCCAGCTTCAGGGGTCCCAACAGACCCAAACCTTACACCAACCGGAGAGACAAGCAGTGGTGAGAGGCAGGAAGGGAGCTTTAATCAGCTCTGAACAGATCAAAAGGTTCAAAATCCGCCCTCAAGGGGCTGGCAGAGTTTTAGGGTAAGAAAGGGGAAAACAGACAGGATTTGGGGTCTGCACAGCTGGAGGGAAGCGAGCCTGCTCGGGCTGTGTTCTGGTGCATCAGTATCTCAGGACTGGTTCTGTGGGGTTCTCCGAGAGTCAGTGTAGCTCAAAGGGGTGATCTGGCTCTGATACTGAGACGAGACATGCACTGCTCCTGCTTGGTGGGTGACCCCATCAAGGGTGGTCTCTGAGGCTCTGCTTTCCTGCAATCCTAAACCGCTGTGCTTTCAGGAGAATGACCAGAGGCTTCTAGGCATCCTCCAGGGGAATGACAACCAGCTGGGAAGGCCGGCAGCTGGATGTCCCCACATATCCTGAAAGTTACTTTAGTTACTCTCATCTTGGTTTCCTCAGTCTTGAAGAAATGAGACAGGCTAGGTAAGTTTAGGACTAATAATCACTCCTTAATGATTCACATGCCTGTGGGCAGAGCCGAGCAGGAGTCTGACTCTAAGTTTTTAAGTAGTAAAGGAGAAAAATGAAGGCGGACATGCTAAGCTTCATCCTGCTTCAGTTTCCCAGTGGACACTTGCAGGCCCAGTCTGTGAGCTCCTGTCACAAGAGGATTTAGGTGTTCTTTTTAAACATTTGCCTTGAGTGAGTCAGGGATATAGTTCAGCAGCACAGGTGCCTGCCTGGCAAGCATAAGTTTGATTCCTGGTACCAAAAACAATTTTTCATGTAGCGGGGTGTGGTGGCACACACTATAATTGCAGCACTCAAGAGGCTGAGGCTGTTTTTCTTTTCTGACTTTTCTCTTTTTTAAATAAAAAAAAGATACATATTTCATTTAAATGGACTTAATTGGAATTTCAAATTAATGTCTAAATAAGGTTTTTTCCTTTAAAAATATTCCTATTCTGAAGCACTTTAGAATGCTAGGCAGAGGGACCACCACACATTCAAAGGTGACAAACATGACACGACAGTGAGATACCTTTGCTTCACCTAATATGGTGACAGTGAACCTTTTAGAGACCAAGTGTTCAAACACCAAATGTCCAGCCCAAAACCCACTGATTTATCGCCAAGTGCCAACACCACACTACAGTTAAACTTGAATACCGAGGTTTTACTTTAGCAAAAACAACTGTTATTGATGCTCAGCTGCTGGGGCCACTTGGCTTGCGTGCTGAGCGCGACACAGCCTGTGTGCCAAGGTCTGCCACCACTGACCTAACTTACATGCAAGTGCTCACTTCCTGCAGCTCATTCCTGTGGAAAGGCACTGGCTGAACTGCTTACTGGGGTGTGGTCTCAGTCCTTTCCTACAGCCCTGTCCTGTGTATGCTGTACCTATACGTCTGCGCCTCCTACGGAAAGAGCAGAATCCTGAGAGTCCCCTAACACAAGACCCTTATTTATCTCTTTAAACCAATCTGTGGACTGGCTGACTTTCAGCTCTGATACAGAGGAAAGGAACGGCTTCCCCAGGAGGTAAGCGAGAGGGAGGGGAGCATTCTCTGGCATCTAACATCCTTTTTCCACTGCAGAAAATCAGCTCATAATGCTGATGACACAATAAGCTGCCAAAGAAGTCAACACAGCCATTAACCGCTGTTCCATCTTTTTAGCTCTGCCCAGATACAGATTCTGGAGGATTCTAAACCATTCTTGGCAGAGAATACAAAGGAATGGCATTTCAAGGATACAAAGTAGCCACTTAATAAATATATGCTGAACGATGAGCCTCGGGTTAAAATATAAAATTCATTAAAATGAACAACTGTGGAAGGCTGTCTACAGAAGCTGCAAGGGACAGAGGAAAGAGGAAGTGCCCACTGGAAAAAGATCAGCACATTCCAGAAAGAAAAGGAAAGCTGACTGTGGGTGTAGATGGAAGCTGCAAACCACTCCCTGGGAGGAAACAAGCCTTATCTCTACCCTGGTGGATACTGAGGTCAGGAGGCAGGATGTGGGGGGGAGCTAGGAAAGAGCTGCCTCCGCCTCACCGTGAGGGAAAACTCATCCCAGGAAACAAAGGCCAATTAGTAGCAGAAACCTCTGGGGATCCCCGGAGTAGAGTCCCACATGGTATGCTACTTTCCTGACATCATGGAAAGTCATTCACAACGCACTAATATCTTAATCTTTGTCTATGTGGAAACAAATAGTTCTTGCAGGCCAGTCTTCCCCAAAACAGAAACCGTAGAGGTTAACAGCAAGAAAGCACAGAGAAGGACAAGAACAACATTTTTTTTTTTTTTTTTTTTTGGTACAAGGGATCAAACTGACAACCGCATACTTGCAAGGCAGGCGCTTATGCCACTGAGCTAAATCCCCGGCCCAAAGACTACATATTTTGATCTTAGTTAGGTTACTCCACAAAATGGCAAACTTCAAAATGCCATTTGGACCATAAAACCACAAAGAGGCTCTGCTCTCTGAAGCGGATAAAGCAGAAGATGGAATTAACAATCCTGCCGATCTCTGTGTGGTTCCTACGTGGCTTCAGGAAATTCTTTAAAACCCATTTTCCTCAGCTCTAAAAAAGGACAGGCAGATAAAAGGTTAATTTGCAGAAGCTGTAACAATTAAACTAGTTTCTTTAAAGACATACTAGAAAGTAAAGATAATGGGCTAGCTATGCAGCTCAGTGGTAGAGCACTTGCCTAGCACATACAAGGATGTTGGTTTGATCCCCTGCATCACTGAATGGGGCAGGTAGACGGACAGACAGCAGGTGGGCACAGTGGCACATGCCTATAGTCCCAGTGCTCTGGGAGGCTAAAGCAAGAGGACTAGCATGTTCGAGGCCTGCGTGAACAACTTAGTGAGACAGAGTCAAAGTGAAAAAAAAAAAAATTAAAAGTGCTGGGGATATAGTTCATAGCTTAGTGCAAAGACCTTGAGTTCAGCTCCCCAGTGTCCTGGGCGGGCCTTGAATTTGCAGTGATCCTCCTGCCTCATCCTCCCAGAGTTCTGGGGCTACAGGCGCATACCACTACACCTGGGTAGAGTTCTCTTTAATTCACTGGCTAGATAAACATTCAAATATCTAACTTGTGGCAACCATCAAGGGAGAAAAGTTCAAATTTGAAATATCACCAGTATTTAAGACCGGCAAGCTACCTGGCTTTCTCAGATTCCCTCTGACTACCCCTGACGCCTCTGTTCGAGCCGTCCTTTCCAGAGTCAGTATCTGGCTCGGAGTCACTGCTATCCGACTGCCCATGTTTCCTCTTCGTCTTCTTGTAGTGCTGATGCTTCCTTTTTTTCTTTTTCTCCTTCTTCTTTTTCCTGCTTACTTGTGCAAGCTTTATGTGAGGGTCACTCTCATCTGATGGCTCTGATTTCAGAGGACTCCTGCTTGAGAAAATCAACTTCAGAATTATTTTCAAAAGAGAAGTAGAGAAAATACTATGTAAATAAGTAAATACACAAATAAGTATATAATAGGAATCTCTACGAATGTTCACACAAATCTGCTATTTGCCCATACAGTACAAGTACTTCCCTGGATTACAACTCCCCTAAAGACTTAAGAACCATCCCCAAAATGAGTGAAGAACATTTCACCCTAGTAGTTTCTAATCCTGTACTTTCACAAGTAGTCATCTTTAAAGGACTACTTACTTTATCAGATAAAGTATTTGAGCAACATTACTAAAGGTTTATTTTCAGTGCTATGAGATAGCCTTAGGATCAGAAACAAAAGGTTTAATTGTGGTCCTTGTTTTTAAAGGTGAAAATGAATTGTTCTTTTTCATTACTCAAATATCTTAGACAAAATTCTTCTTGAGTGTTAACTAGTATCAATTTCCAAAGGCTTCCTAATACTTAGGATTCAGGTTTTTCATCATTAGATTCTCTAATCTATTTGTGAAAGAGCACACTTCTCAATTATGTGATCTACAAAAAATTATTTCATAGCTGGGTAGGTGTGTGCCATTCTGCTGTCCCCAGTGTTTTCCTTAGATTTTGCCCCATGTTATGTTATATGGGCTATTTTTACAAAAGTGTTGAATATGCAATTAAAGAAATTCTAAATTACAATATCCTAAAGGTTACTAATGAGGAGAGTAAAGTTACTTGAGAACCACAATGATGCCATTTCCCTCGTGGCCTAATTACAGGCACTAATTGTGTCACGTACTCGCCACTGCAATGGAAAAAAGAACAATCTATACAAGTGAGATCAGGAAAACAGCCAAGAGTCCCTCACTGCTCTAAGGAGAGGAAAAGCTCAACGGGGCTTTCTCATTATAGGGTTTTCTTATACACATCATCTAAGCTAACCCAGAGACAACATGCAAACAAAGGCTAAAATCCCTCTGTCAGAAAACCACCTTGTCAGTGCGGAGCCTCTGGAAACAAGGGCTGCGGCCTCCTTGGCTTCTTGGTTCAACGATGTTATCGCTCCAACACAGAAGCTGGGGTTGCTCAGCCAGTCCAATTCTACACATGCCAAAGGGAGAAAAGATCAATAACATTAGCTCAATACGACTTCGAAAGTGGTAAATCCATTCATCCCAATTCACAGCCAATGGCTGCCAGACACTTTGAACACCCACAGAAGCTGAACAGAACCCATGAAATTTTTATTTTACAGGGACAGTGCTTGAACATACTCTAAAATATTTAAGACTGAAATCCCTTTCTGATATATCGTGGCTTTTGCAACTTAAGCAAAAGCCAGGAAACAAGTATAGCCTAAAAGGCAGCAAAGTTTTAGGTATTCCATCCATGTTACCTAATAAGCTTGAATGCTTCGGAAGCGTTAGGTCTGTTAACCTCAAATTAGATTTACACAATTCCGAAAAATTAACAAGGCAAATCATGCATAAAAGTTCACAGAACTTCACAGAAGCTGACGTTATAAGGATGAAAATCTTTTTAAAAGTATGCAATGATCTATCTTAGTACAGTAATTTAACCTTTCCTCATAACAGTACCAATCTTTGGAAATAACACGATTCAATTACCAATGCTAAAACTATATACATGTTAATTAGTACATCTGGGTGGAAAGATTAAATATCTAAACACTTTTCTATTTATCCGTAACTTCTAACTTTTCCAAATAAAGTATTTCTAAATTGCTTACTTGCCAACTTTTTTTAAGAGTCTGAGGCAGGCGTGGCATGCCCCTGTAACCCCAACCCTCTGGAATCTGAGGCTTCAATTTAAGGCCAACCTGGGTTAAATGGTGGGTTCACAGCCAGCTTGAACTATATAGCAAGATCCTGTCTCAAAACAGACACACACGAAAGAATAAAGCATGAGATGGCCATAGCAAGGAGGCCCATAGAGGGGCTCACATTCTGTCTAGTTTTGTTTTAGGGTGAGAGGCCAAAGCACATTCATATGCTAAGGGAAAAGAATCCAGGAAAAGGCTACATCCCAGAGAAGAGGGTAATGACAAATTTAACCATGTCATTGATATAATTTACATACTAAAACGTCCACTCACTTAAGGGTTGTATAACCATCTCCATCACTGCAGAACGTTTTCATCATCCCATAAATAAATCTGACTCTACAAAGTCCATCACCTATCTCCCAGTGTCTCCCCCTTTAACCCCAGGCAAACACTCGCTTTGCTCTACAGATCTGCCTAATTCAGACCTTTAATTTAAGAGAGCTCAGATGACATGCAGCCCTTTGTAACTTCCTTCTTCCACTTGCGTAATGTTTTCAAAGGATCATCCATGCTGCATTACAGCTTTCCTTTTCATTATCTAACAACAATCCACTTTGCTGGACATGGTGGTGCATGCCTATAATCCCTGCTGGAAGACAGCTATGAGTTCAAGGCCAGCCTGGGCTACATGGAAAGTTCAAGGCCTGATTGAACTACACAGTGAAACCCTGACTCCAGGGGGGGAGGGGGGGCCCTACCTTACGGATATATCGGTTTCTTTATTCACCAGCTGTTGGATACTTAGAGGTTTTGGTTTTCTTTTTCTTTATGACTATTATAAATAGTACTGGATACAAATTTTTAATGGATATTTCATTTTTCTTAGGCGATATCTCAGAGCGGAACTTTGTCTGCTGGGCCGTATGTATTTATCTCATTTAGCATTGTGAGGAATGCCAGATTGTTTTCCAAAGTAGCTGGATCATCAGATCCCATTTAACAATATATAATTCCATTTTCTCTGTGTCCCCTAAAGACTCATTATTGTTTGTCTGTCTGATAACAGTCAGCCTACTGAATGTGATTAAGTTAACTCAATGTAGCTTTAATTAATCTGCAATTCTCTCATGACTAATGATGTTGGCATCTGAGTTTACTGGCCATCCACAGATCTTCGGGGAAGTACTCAAATCCTTTGCCTGTTTTTACACTGAGTTGTCTTTTGATTACTGAATCCTAAGAACCCTTTACATATTCTCGATTTGAGTCGCTTACAGTAACTACATCTTTGAGAGGGGATATTGGCAGCATGTTCCCTGAAGGCAGGCACTTTCCCTATGTGCTGGGCACACAGGAAAATGCCTGGCATACAGTACAAATTCAACAAACATTCATAGGAAAGAGAAAAAGGAGGAAGGATGGAGAAATCCAAAATCAGGCTACTTGTGGGCCAGACGGCAGGCTGGCAGCATTTACATGTTCTAATCCACGTAACACTACTCTAGAGGAAGTATGACAAAGAACACTTCACAGAAGAGGAAACCAGTGCGTGAAGGAATAAAGTAATTAATAAGGACAATAATTTACAAAAGTTCACACAATCTTGTCTCCTTTTGCCTTCTGAGGTCATTCTCTTCTGTTGGGCCTAATTCCTGGCAAGAGGTCTTTGAAAACAGTTCCTATGGCTCACCAAGATTGGAATTGTTTCCACAACAATCAGATTCTATTGCGTACAAAGGAGAAAAGTGGGCAAAAAATGGAACAAACAGTATGCCAGAAAAGATACTCTCGACTCATTTCAATATATTTCACTTAAAAATTTGAAAAAGACATAACTAGAAGAAAATGTAAACAAATACAAACATCAAAACTAACTAAGTACCTGTCTTAGTAATTTAAAATACCCAAAACCCGTAAGTTAAAAGAAAATGTTTATGTTTAGCTCACAGTTGGTAGAGGTTTCAGTCCGTAACTGGCTGGCTCCAAGGCAGAGTGGAGGAAGAGATCTGAGAAACAGTTCACGGGGAACAGAAGGTAGTAAAGCCACAAGGGACCTTAACAGAGTCTTCCTGCCCCTTTTATCTTATCCAGGCTACTCAGGGCCGGTAGCACTCACACCCTTAATCCTAGTGCTTTTTATTTTAGCACTGTACCATCAACCAATTCCAGTGTTAACACATTCTAGATCCAGTCACCTCTGAAAAAACCCCACCTCTGACTGCAAGAGGCTTTGGGGGACATCTAGACACAAGCCATAACAGTATGTGACTCTCCCAGGCCTTTCAAAAGGTTCAAGACAGGCCTCTTAAGGATGCAAAGGAGGCTTTGCCACAGGGAAACACGAAAGGAAAAACAAAAGTACTTTATAAAAAACTAACACTTGCCAGACATATAAACCCTGTAATTAGACGTGTAGGCCTGTAATCTCAGCAGTTTAGGAGCTTAAAGCAGGAAGAGCAAAAGTTCAAGCCCAGCCTGGGTAATAAGGGATTTACTCAGACCCAGTTTCAAAATAAAAACTATGAAGTCCTGGAGATGTAGATTAGTTCCAAAGGGTCTGGGTTCAATTCCCAGTATAACTTACTTACACACATAAATACGTACATACAGGTCTTGAGTTTAAACCCAAATTACACAGACCCTCTGTGTTGCCCTCATATCAAAAGCCAAAAAGTAATTTTCACCTGATAAAAACAGGGTTTTTTTTTTTTTTTTTTGGTAGTGTATTACTTGGCTATTAATGAATTCTTAGAATAATCATTGGGTGATTATTACTCAAAATTTTGGATGATCAGCTAATCCAAGGATTTTCAAACTTTTCTTAGCCAAGGAATTCACTTTTCAACGTCAGAGAGGTACAATATGCAGAACAGAAAAGGCAGGAATGCTCACCCAAGTGTGCAGCCGACGGGGCAGGCTGAGAAGGTTCTTGGAAGCAGAGCTTGTAGCTCTCTGCCTCACCTGTAGGTCACATGGCCAAGGGCACACACAGGAACCTCGATCTACAGACTGCATCCACTGCTCTCCACCACACCATGGTGCTACTATGTTTCCTCAATTGAGAGGAGCTTCCTTTATGTCTCCTGGACATTGGTACGGGAGGCTGTTTTAACAATCTTCACACTGTGAATTCATTATCCACATGCCTCTCTTCCCACTATATCCTAAGCCAGTGATGGCAAACCTTTTAGAGACCAGTACCCAAATTACAACCCAAAACCTACTTATTTATCACAAAGTGCCAGTACTGGAATTAAATATGAATACAATATTGAAGTTTTAGTTTAGAAAAACACAACTGTTATCCCATGCTCAGCTGCTGGGTGACCTGACTTGTGTGCCAACACAGAGGGTTCTGCACACCTGCTGCAGCACGCATGCCACAGGTTTGCCATTGTTGTTCTAAACTGATGAACAACAACTCAATTATGGGAACATGATTAGTAATGACGACTGTGCCATAGACAGTGGCAAAAGAAAAGTAGTCAATACTATTCTGCCATTCAAACAACCACATCAACCAGTTTATAACTCCTGCTTTCTCCCCTCCTCCCACCTGTTTCTTTCCAAACTGAAAGCAACATGAGGGCAGGAGCTATCACTATTTACTCCCGTATACCTGATTCCTAATACAAAATAGCTACAGTCAATTCATATTTTTGGAATAAATTATTAAATGAACGAGGCTACCAACCAAATCTTTGTATCTTTTTCTCTAGCACCTAATAGACTATACAAACTAAAGAAATCTGAGACTGTCCTCCCAAAAATCCATTATTCAGGTATAAAGCACAGCCATTATAATTCTTCCATCTTTCACTATGTGTATTTAATTATTACTGAGTGCTCATGAAGTGTCCAGGCACACGCCAGGTACTGGGGTACTGCAGACTCTGCTCACATGGTGTTTGTATGAAATTGTAACTCTGGTCAGATGATACATTTGGATTGCCAAATTCGATTTTAGTTAAATAGAATCCTGGAGAAAATTATCTGACATTAAGAGATACTTCATCAATCAGACTACAATGTCCTTTTCAACTGTTACTTACATCCTAACATAATTTACAGTGTTTGACAGAAATCAAATATGTATATAGATAACTGTGCCAATACTCCACAGGATGTAACATACTGCAGAGAAAACCAGCAGGATACCTAATGCCTGCAGCTTAAGAGAGTGGGAGGACAATAAATAAATAACAGTTTGGAACACGCCTAAAAAATGGCATTCTGCCATTCACATTCCCCTCAACATGGAAGAAAGGTGGAAGCATTAAGCAGGAAAGACGCCTTTAAAAAAGCACAGAGCTAA